CGACCTATTTGGCATACTTCCCGAAGCGAAGTCTACCATCTCTCAGACAGCTGCTATCAGCTTAAGCAAGCAAGAGATGTTTGCAGGAAAGTGCTATGCAAAAACTGCCTCCATGCAGTACAAGTTGCGGAGATTCGTAGGAATGATCCTTTCCAAAGAGGTGATACACGACCACGTGGCACCGAAAGAGACATTGAGCGCTTCCAGACCTACGATGATGCAAGTAACACTCCTCACATGACGCAATTATTTCAGGATGCCTTGCATGCACAAAGGGCCGAGGAAGCCATGCAGATCACCTACACATCGATCCCTAAGGGATCCACGGCAAAGGCCAGAGGTACATCTGCACTTCCAAGTGCCGCATCGTCATCAGCGCCCAAGGCAATGCCACCAGGGCCTAACAAGGCTAACATGTCACCTCCACCTAAGAGTCCTCCGCCGAAGGCGAAAGGAACAGTACCTTCTGATCCTCCAAGACCAAAAGGTCCTACCAGAAGAGGAGGTCAAAATCGGCGTATTCAACGAAAAGCAGCTAGAGAAGCCCACAACAGTGGACTCTGCACTTATGCAGACGCTGCACTTGACCAAGCCAATCAAGGCCAGGCAATTAACGTTACGTGTCGAAACATAGTATCAAGACACATCAGCTCTATCGATGCAACGGTAGAAGCATCCGGCCAGTTTACACAACGCGTGCTACAGCACGTAGAAACATATGATGAAGAGGAACCGTGGAGCACGGAGTTCCTACCAATCGTGGAAGTCCTATTCAGGAACTCAAGCGGCGATGAAACAACTGTCATACATGACAATCAAACGGTAACTATGCCTCTTGCGAAATACACAGACCTCCTCAGAATCGCACAAGCACTGCGAGGATCTATCCAGAGAGACAAGGAGGAAAGAAAGGAACATCTTGACACCATCCAAGATACTCTATCCAGAGTAGAAATCCTCCTCACAGCACTGAAGGACTCAAGGACAGTCTTTAATCAATTGGTCAATTCCTCACTAGAGATAGAGCGAAGAAATAACAATCTCAAAATGTCCTCGAGACACTCTTTGACGACCAAAGCTCTGAGGAAGACCATCAGAATCTGACAATGAAGAAGTCCTAACTCCTTCTGCACCACAGTACTGGAATAGCCTTTATGCCCACGCCTTATCTCCTTCAGGAGATGAAAGTGAAAGATCATGGGCGTCCTCAGACGGACAGCTTGAAAGAAGAAGGGCTGAACGGGCAAAGGCTAAGCAGCCGCAACCGGCAAAAGCCAAGGCAACTCCAGTCAGCTCACAAGCTGCTCCAAAGGCCGAGCCAAAGGCGACAACATCCAACCATGGATATGATACTGCAGATGCCGCCTTCACCAGGGCTGAGAACAGATTACTCGGAATCTTTTCAAGTTCCGAAGAAGACCACTCAGACCCGGATGAGCCACATCCGAATGTCTACGCTCGAGCCTATGATCCAAACCTGGATCCTAATCTGAGATAAGAAAAGTCTCAGAGTTTCACAATAGTGAATCACAAGGCTCTAACAAGAGCACAATGAGTGGCTGCATAATTCGGTAGTAGAACATCACCAGATCTGATCTTGTACAGATGATCTCTCTGACAAACATGCATGAGTGTGTGCGCAAAAGGAGTGGAGTTTCCTCAGCAGTATACTTCAGTGCTATACCTAGCATACTTAATATGCTGTTTTTATAATGAGTCCAAAAACTCCGCAACTGTGACAGTGGGCATAACAGTATATGTTTGAATGTGCGGCCATGCTTTCGGTAAAAGAAAATTAGTGTCTGTTTGAAACCATAAACCTCTAAAGGGGTAGCTCTAACAGGTACCTACAGCAATGGCTGCATGCTCATACATATACATTCCGCTGCCCATTGGCTCACAGTGGTTTTACCATATTGAGACAAGACAAGCTCTCCTTGCGTAGCAAGACAAAACAACTACTGTCCGTGTGCAGGGCGCTGCCCTTTGATCCTTAGGGAATAAACTGGTCATACACCTCCTTACAAGGAGTATCCCTTGGGGGTGTATCGGCACAGGGGGTGGGTGTGCGGGGTGTGAGGGGGGTTGGGTGTGTGGGGTGGGTGTTGTGTGGGGCTTGGTTTCTCGTTTTTTTTGGGGGGGGGTGTGGGGGGTGGGTGTTGGGGGGGTGTGGAGTTCCACGATGGTTGCCAGCCACATGAGGAGCAACTGCAGCTGCTGCAGACCTGGACAGAAGGCCAGGACCTCAGTGAGCCCAATCTGCTAGAAGTACTTTCGGGGCAACCTCCCCGGCTACGACTGCTACGGGCGATCCTCGAGGCTGCTGGCGACCCGGATTGAGACTTTCTACGTCGTGCCGAGGAGGGGCTACCTCTGGGGATACTGGAAGAGCTTCCGAGAACTCCACATGTTTTCCAAGACCAGACGTGTTGGAGGCTGGACAATGCTCCATGGGAGCCCGCGCTAGCCTGGGTGCTAAGTTCGACGAGGACGTCGAAGAGGGCCTCATGGAGAAGATGACCCTCGGCGAGTTCAAGGCGAGGTTTGGCGAGCACAGGGCGATAGCCTCCTTGGCCGTGATAGTCGAGACGAGGAGAAGGACAAGAAGAGGATAATCCACGACGCGACCCACGGTGTCAGGGTGAATCACCGGATACGCTGTATAAGATTCGAGCCCCGGGAGCTAGAGAGAAGAAGCAGATCCTTCGCGAACTGATACGCTGTGGCGAGGTCACCTTCTCGGTTGTGGGGGATATCTCGAAGGCTCACCGGCGATACAAGCACCAGGCTAGCGAACATGGCTACATGGGTTGCCAGATAGACTCTAGACACCGAGGAGACGATCCCGGGGACCCGGAAGCCAGATCGTCAATGTCAACAAGGTGGGCACCTTTTGCACTCGATAGCCGCGTGTGGGCTACGGGGCCACCCATCATCTGTTGGGCCCCGGCTACCCCATCGACCTCCTGCTATATGCCGATGACCTCGAGGCCGAAGGGAGGAAAGGGATTCCTCTGAGTTACCTCCTCCTTTCTGTCCTGGGATATCCCTTCAAGTGGGCGAAGACTCGTGGTGGCTATAGGGTGGAGCGAGACGGAGTACTCCTCCCACAGGCTAGGGATGTCGAAGAAGCGAGCATCCTGGCTATCGACCTGGCTAAATGACTCCGGCAAGGTGACCGCCAAGGAGATGCAGCAGGGACTCGGAAGGCTAGGATTTGCCGCCATTGCTCTCGACTGGCAGAGACCCTTCCTGGGACCACTCCATGCCTCGAGTGCGGCTATCTAGGGGAATCTGGATACCTCATCATCCCGACGATGCTGCGGGTCCTGATGCGATGGCTAGCCGACAAGCTCGACCAGGGGGAGAGACTACAACGACCGGTGACCCTCTACACTGGGCTACCACCACTGAGCTTTTTCACAGACGCTAAAGCCGAGTCCGATAGGGCCTGGATAGGGGGCTTCCTGGAGAAATCCGAAGGGAAGCCGGGACCCTGGTTTTCGCTAGAAGTAGATAAGGCCTGGGCTCCTTGGGCCTTCTCGAAGGGGGACCCCAAGAAAGTGATAGCTGCGCTAGAACTGCTAGCGACCCTCGTGGGGATACGTCTCTGGGCCCCCGAGGGCGAGGATAGAAAGACCTCGCGAGTGGCCATCCGTGGATATACGGATAACAAGTCCAATGAGGCACTTGTGAAGAAGGCTATGACGACCAAGTATCCATCCATGCTAATTTTAATGGAGGTAGCCGAAGAGCTATCCCAGAAGAACTGTGAGCTACAGCTCCAGTGGATACGGCGAGACATCAACCAGCTAGCAGACGACCTCACCAACGAGGAATTCAAGGAGTTTGACCCAGCTCAGAGGATAGATCTGAAGGGGGAGAACTTCGAGTGGCGAGTCCTTGGCCGGCTACTCGCGCATGCAGATAGCTTCTACAAGGAGCTAGGCACGCGAAAGCGAGCGACTCCGGATAGGATGTCGAAGTTTAGCCGAAAGGCCAGGAAGCTCGATCCCTGGTAGCCTGAGTGGCGATGCGTGGGGATAGATAGCCGAAGGCTATCAGATATCTCCAGGCAACCTGGGATAGTTGCCACTTCAGACAAAAAGTCCGTCAGTGCTAGCTGAGTGTGTTTGCGTTGTTTGGTTGTCGCTCGGCTAGCTCGCATGCTAACTATGACTACTACTACTATCGTCCTGGTGGAGTCCGGGGATGGTGGTGGGATATAGGAGCTAGTGCACGTACCTCGTGACGAGGAACGAGTTACGACTATGTGTGCTAGCTAACCTACTCTAACGAAGCTATTGAAGGTAGCTTCGCTAGAAACGAAGTTTCGGTCGCTATCGTCGTTTGCAGGATAGTTGCGTTTGACATGCGAAGACAGGATAGCTGTGACTTGGAATGGCTACAATTGTTACAAGCATTTGTGACCGTGGCCATTCTGGATAAAGTCCCCCAATCAGAGGGTTAATTTTGAAGTACCCGCCCTGCCCACCCTGGGGATAGATAGCCGAAGGCTATCAGATATCTCCAGGCAACCTGGGATAGTTGCCACTTCAGACAAAAAGTCCGTCAGTGCTAGCTGAGTGTGTTTGCCTTGTTTGGTTGTCGCTCGGCTAGCTCGCATGCTAACTATGACTACTACTACTATCGTCCTGGTGGAGTCCGGGGATGGTGGTGGGATATAGGAGCTAGTGCACTGATTTCTTTCGCGCCGAGGCCGTAAGGCGGGCAATTGCGGCTATGCAGCCCCTGGCCACAGGCTGGCCTGGACTAGCGCACCGGCTCTATTTCCCCATGGGGCATCTTGCTGAGCTGCCTATCACGCGGCCTCGCTCGCCGCTCTTAGCTTCGACTCTACTTAGCTGGACGTCCAGCAACTCCGACTGACCTCTATCCGCGTGGCACTTGCCATGCGGTTGGCTATACATGGGAATTGCGCCACGGCGCTGGGTTCGATTCCGTCCTAGACACAATTTTCGGGCCCAGCTGTCGATGAGGATATTGACCCCGCCCTTGCGCAACTGGGAAGCTGGGCTATGGGGCTGGGTGCCTCCGTTGGCGTTGCCGTCGGCCGCCCACACTTCACTCGACACGGCACGCCATATTCTCCATGTGCATATATATCTGGGTGTCTGCTGATCGACACCATCTTGCTGTGCATCCAGCAGCTCTGACTGCATCGGCCACGCTTTTCGACCATGTTTTGCAGGGCATCTGCTAGCTGCTATTTCAGCGGCCCTTGTCGATGGCCGGCCGTGTGGACTTTGCCCTTGCGAGACCCACTACTGGGAAGCTGGGCGGGGCGGATGCCCTACGTGTGTGCGCATGCCGACTTTTACCATTATTGTGTCGGCGTGGCACTATCTGCTTTCCCTGGTGGATTTCGACGTGGTATGGCTCCTGACCAGCATTTGGTCCCGGGGCCTATTGCTTCGTGATCTTTGCCTCTGCGCGACCTACGAGCAGGAAGCCAGGCTGGATGGCATAGCCCTCTTGGGAGTTACTGCCACTTACCCACAACTTCCTCTGGCGCTGCACTGGCGATGTCCTGTGCACTCCCCGCCCTTGCGAGGCCCGAGACAGGGAAGCTGGGTGGAGTGACACGTGTCGGGAACGCTCAAGTCCGATTTCATTACTGCTCACGACAGATGCTCCGCGTGGTGCTGGCCCCCTTGGTGCGACTTGCTGCGCCTCCCTTTCTTTCTTGCTTAGGCAGCTGGGATGAAGGGCTTGCCCTTGGGTGATCCTGCCCACCACACACGATTTCATTACGCGTGGCACGAACATGTGCCTGGCACACTCCCTGCCCTTGCGAGGCCCGTTCTCAGGAAGCTGGGTCGGTTGGCATGAACTTTGTGAATGCTCTCGTCGCTGGCCTGCCATGTTGCGCACAAGAGACGCATCGCCCGGTGCCGACCCCTTGACACGATCCGGTAGAATCAGACCTACCCTGCGCGGCATTACTGACAGCATTCGCCATTGCGCGACCCAGTCTAACTGGGAAGCGGGGCACCTGAGCGGAGCTGGGCTTCTCGCATCTTTGGCCGAACGATCCCTGCCGGCTTAGTCTGCAAGTCGCGGCCTGTCTCACCCTCTTTTAGTCTTGTACAGCTTCTTATTGGAGTTCTTGTCGTTCTTACAGGGACCGAGTGCAGCAACTGCTGTCTTTGAGGCCCGCCCACGCCAAAAAAAGGTTGAAATCCGTCTTAACAAGCAACTTCGGTTCACAGATCGTGGACTTTGCTGACAGGGCGCTGCGTCTGCTCGGGAGAAAGCTTGGAGATTTACGGCCTTGCTATGGCGTGCGCGCTTGCTCAATTTTGCTCGCCAGTTCAGGAGCTAAATGAGCGCTAGGCAACTGACCTCTCCTGGTTCTCTCGCCAATCCGAAAATTGACTCTGGTACGGAAAATAGGCGAGCAAGGATTGATGAAACACAACAGCAGGCCGTTGCCAGCCATGGATGTGGAACCATGGATGCACCAGCTGCTGCAGCCTCTTTCATGCAGTTACGACTGCTCACAGCTAGACTCCACCGCTTGGGCTTGTGGTGATTCGCGTTCCTTGTGGTGTTTGCCAAAGGCCCGTGGCCATCGACATCCAGAAAATCCAGCAAAAAGCTCAGGCAAGGCTTCGATGTGGAGCGGATCAGGGTTTCCCGGCTGATCAGTCGCGAGGGTTCTGGACACAGGCGGCGAACATCGCAGCTGACGCGCTGGAGCCATGGATGTACGGCGTTTTCCTGCGCTTCGATTGGCAACGAAAGTCCACGGTGCATGTCTTAAGTGTTAAGACACATCAGTGCTAGCGTCCGAAAGGCAGAAGATTGATGATCGGCCCCCGTGGAGCAGATTGGATGTTGAGGCCGTGCACTTAAGTAGATGAAATATACACACAGATGCAGATCGCTGTGCGGACTCCGTCGTTTGCTGCGAGGTGGCGAGCTTCAGGGACGCCTTGGAAGAAGCGGAGCCCTGGATGTTTCCTTACTTCCGGCCGCTGGCCCAGCTGGCTCGCAGGGCTTTGGGACATGTTTACACATGGGAAATGCAACGTGTTGACTCACCCAACATCTGTTGACAGCGATGGACGCCTCGGAACCGAATTTAATCAACTAGGCAGGACCCATGTTAACGTGCGCATTTCGTCCAGCAGACGCCTCAAACTCTTGGTGGTTCCGTGCTTGCACCGAGGTCGATTCGATTGGGAGGCCAGTCTGTGCAACCCTTCTTTGTGCTTGTTCGGATAAGTCAACAAAAGCGCCAAATGGAAGCATTGTACATGCGGTGCGTCTCGGCAGTGTGGGCGGGGGCTTGAGGTCAGGAGGCTCGCAATTGTACCGGTTGGTTCTCTGGAGGCAAAATGACAAAGACTCTCCTCCCTGCGGAAGTCTTGAAGGCCCTGGCGTGACGACCCCGGCGAAGTCGGAAGTTCAGGCCGCGGCAGCGCCACAGTACCCGTGATTGCAGAAGGCGTCATTCGTATGCCGACTTGCGTAGTTCATAGATTATCACGGATCCTCGGTCGGGTCATTGAGCTCCGTGCATACAGATCGCAGGGCATGCAGGGGGACTTCAACACAGAGTATTCCCTCGTGGGTTCCCGCGAAGTGCGTTGCTTGCGCAGGTGCCGGTGACCGCTCTTGATTTCATGCTGGAATCTGAGACAAATCTGTGCGCCTTGCAACATAGTGGAATAGCAAAGATGTTGCGGTGCTTTTGAGGCCAACGTCTTTGCCTATCAGGTGGTCTTGCAACAAAAGGCCCGGGAGCATCGCATCGGCATGCAACCGTCCCGCAGGATGGACTACGACACAGCCGTGTCCTCCTTGCAGATGCACAGTCATGTCGTCAATGCAATTCGGCGTGGCTTGGCAGCTCAGGCCCCTTAGAGTCACATGTGCTTTGGATGGCTGCTTGGCGCCGTGGCACCTCTCCTGTTGGGCAGGTGCAAGTGCCGTTGGAGACAATTTCTGTTGGGCGCTCAGTTGCATCTATGTTGCATCCATGAGACCCCGAGCTGCGAAAGTGGCGGGAGAGGTGACTCTCCAGCCTGGACCCATGTTGGCTCATGCGCAGCACGTGCCCCAGAGAGCTGCGTTTGCAGAGGTGGCAGCTCAACTTACACGAGAGACTATAGTACATGATAGTATACCATAGTATACTATCGTATATTATAGTATACTATAGTATACTTTGTCAGCTGGCAGGATCGACGCTGACAGCATGGAGGCTGCCTCGGTAGTGGCGAAACGTGCCACAAGTCGGGGTGGCAAATCCTTGCCGGCGTCTTGATTGCCGAATCGCTTCGAGATTCCATGCATCTGCCTTGCACATGCTTGCACCTGTCACTCAGGGTGGGCCAAGTCAATGTCAACTTGGCAGAGGTTGGAAAGTCAGAACGTGTCCCACGCTTTTCCACGACTCTTGAAGCCTGAAAAGGTGCCGGGCGTCTCCAATGCTGTGGGCCAAGGGATCCTTCGCGTGAAGGCTGGAAACTCGGAGCACTCCCACCGCCCAGATTTTCCATCCTCTTGTCTGTAGAAATTCACTTTCTGTCATCGTCGATCTTTCCACGGTCTGACCTAGTTCCGATGTCCGAAACAGCAGATGGCTCGTGCCTTTGTCGAGTCCTGCGTGTCAGGTATTTTCCGCAACCACCGCGGCCTGTGATCGGTACGAAAGGCCACCACGACGTAAGAGTCCCGAGAGGAAGGCGCGGCCCAGGGATGGGGGGCTCGCAGCATGTGGTGTTAGGACGGTTCTTGCCCGGTTCCCATGGCCATCGGGCTGCGTTCGCACAGTAGATCACAGCCTGAGGGTCGCAAGAGCGTGCCAGGGAAGACGCGGCCGGTCGTCGACAGACAGGATGACCTTGAACAGCGCCTGTGAGGTGCAAAGAGCTCTGAGCGTAGTACGCAGGAGCATGCAGAGGGTGATCTTCCCATCGCGAGGCCGTCATGGCATGGGGCAGGGCGAACGGCCTCATCCCCGCCCAGTCACCCAAAAAGGCTGGAATCGGCATCTGTCGTCCGTGCGTATAGAGTAGCTAGGCCTCTCTGAGTCTTGAGCAGGATGCCTCTACAGAATCCACGGGGATCTACGACAGTGCAGCAGCGAGCTGAAAACAGAAGTCTAAATGAGGCTGTTCTGCCCGTGCTGTGACAAGCGATTGAACATTAAGTTTTGAGGCCCTGCTCTGGCCACTGTCGCTTGTAGACCGAAGGATTGAAGGATCGCTTATACGCGCATGTTGTCATTCTGCCTGTCGCGCCGCATATGTGAGTGTCCGTTTGCAAGCATCCTCTTGCAATCAGCTCGGCTGGGGAATGCTTGCGACTTCTGGTGGCGCTCTACTCGACTGTCGCAGAATCATCGCAGCATGCTTCTCGGTAAGATCGTGCTTCATTGGCTTCGCAGAATGCTTTTCGTTTTAGGACCCCCGCATTGATTACAGATGGGTCGCCTTTGGGCAGTCCATTGCAGATTGCACATGTCACGATTACAAGGTCTCCCTGCCTAACTCGGCGTGGAAATCCATGCTGCACCGGAATTTCAAATCACAAGGCCTTCTCCACACATTGCATGGTATACTCTAAGTTTAGCCCCACGTCTCCAACTCGTTGATCCTGGGCTTCACGTATCGACCTGGCATTGGTCCGACATCGTGGCATCGGGAGGTTGAATAGCATGCTTGACCGGCTCGATAGCCCAAGTTTCATGTCCGCCCCATGAGTCCGGTGACTAGTATTTCTTGCACTTCCGAGATGTGGGTATCGTTTTGTTACGGTATCTGTCATAGCATTTAATTTGTCAGAGCATCATGCAACTCGTAGCCTTAGCACGTTAAATGTGTGACAGGGAACGGTTTAGCACTTTAGCCCGCGAAATGCCTGACCTTGGCTGATCCAAGCCATGACTGTCCAGAACTGAGCGCGGATTGCAGCAGTGAGAGTGAGAGCCATGATCACAGTGAAAATGTGCTGTGCGCAGACATTGAATCTCTGTCTTCGACTCAGGTGCGTGGAGTGTCGTTCCCAAACACAGGCCCGGCTGCCAGCCGATGAGAGTTGGGGCATTTCGTGGCACCTATGAGGACGCAGTTACGCCACTTTGGTGGTAATCGTGTTCGTTTGCCAGGTTCTTAGCTCCTGTTTGTCTGCCTGCTTGTGCTGGCGGAGACAGGATTGCTTTGCACGGCCCAGGCTTCATGCGTCAATGGATTTCAGACACTCGACCACGTGGATGCTTCGTCAAGGTCTCAACGCATACCGGTTCAAGTGCGCACAGTGTTTTTGGTCCATTGCGTGCTTTCTGGTCTGAGGCATTTTGGACAGGGAGAGGGTGGCATACGAAGCCGTCCGAGCTGACACCAGCACGGAATGGCGTGACGAGAGGCGTGCTTCTCAAATTTCTGGGTCGTCGCGTGCGTGGCAAGGACACGTAACTGCACTTCATTGATTCTATACACGTTTTGGTGAGGTTAGTGCAGATTGCGAGTTTCCACGCAGCGTTAACGTGTGGGATCAAGGACAGTGTTCCAGAGGCTGGCCAAGCTGGGCCCGACGAGGCTGCCTTGTTGAATTTTCTGGGGCGCCTCGCGTGGCCGTCACGCAAGATTCCCAACTGAACTTGTTTGGCTGAGGCGGCGAAGGAAGAGACGTACTTGACGGCAACCCGAAAGATTGTGACGAGCCTTCGCTCGTACAGTGACAGAGTCATTGACAAGTTGCTGGCCACAGTGCTCCGTGCATTTAGCATGCTGTCTTTGTCTGTGTGTGTCCTTGCATTTGTCATCTTCATCAAGTGATGAAGGAAAACAGGCTACCTGATGAGAAACAGACTGTGACAAGTGACTAGGGTTCAGAAAGATCGCGCTGGTGCAAAAAGGACATCCTTCAGACACCGGTTCGGTTTAGTGCCCGCTTCTTTCCCCACCAGCTCAATGTGGTGTTCAGCTGGATACTCAGTACTGAATATGCGTCAGACCCAGGGACGACGTCACCCTTCTTGTTCCTGCGAGGCATGAGTTGACGTGCTGTCTTCGTCATAGGAAGCATGAAGTAACTAAACTTTTAACAACTCAAACCGCAAATACTGCCTATTATTGCCCTCAACTCTGTAATAATGTTGCCCTAACTTATTTTCAACATTTTCTATTGTATAAATATTCTGTGACCAGTTGCTTACTCTTTCTTTTTCATTGGTTTTCGCTTCCTAAATATCTTAACTTCATCCCCTACATCTAAATCGGGATATACACGGTTCTTCTTTCCCTTCATCGTTAAATTTAGTTTCACTTTGAATTGATTACTGGGTTTTCGGGCTTCTTTTGGCGTAAATCCCGTGGCCGAGTGGTGGGCTCAAGAGCGCGGCACCTGTGTTCGGCCAGAACTTCGGCTGCACAGACCAGTCAGCAAACTGACGCATGACAAGCATTCACTAGTTCCAACTTAGGACACATGAAGCACTTGTGCGGAGTGTCCCTTTCCGACCTGGTGGATGCCTGAGTGACCTGAGTGACGATTGTCGCCTTCGGGTCTTTGATCTATGTTTGTGTGGGTGATGAATCGATGCGATCTTGAGGATGATGACTTCGAAGACTGGATGTTCCAGTTCATTCAGGCAAGATTTGGGAGATTTCGAGTTCAAAGCGCAGGCAAGTCCTCGATTTGGAGGTATGCTTTCTTGATTGTTCCCGACACTTCGAGGCCTTCGAGCTGCGGAGAGGCGAGGGCCGTGGCAAGCGTCTCCGCGAAAGGACGGGGACTTTGCCACCTGAGGCCCTCGCGGCTGTCTATGCAGGGGGCTCGTGCCGTTCAGTTCTGTTTGTCGTGTAGCACGCTTATGCGCGGTTGGTCCTTCCTCGAGGCCCAATTCCACAATGTGGGGACTTCGACATCTTCCCGATCGCGAAGTGCGCAAAGCTCAGTTGAATGTTTTTGTTGCATTTGCAATCATGGAAACCGTTGTGTTGAGGCCACTGCTGGCGGGTGAGCTTCAAGAACTACGGTGCCACCACGAGGCCAAAGCAATGGGAGTAATCTAAAGTCCCTGAGGGGCATGGCAACAAACGCAGCACAGGGCAGCAACCACTGGTGCAATTGGGGGACATCAGCGATTTCAGGCTTCAGTGAACAAACCACATCAGGCGGTCGCAAGACTCGACGGTGTCTCCACATTCGGATTCACCGAGGAAGGCCCCGGGTTCAATCGGACGTCCGGCATACTTGGGTCTCCGCATCTTCTGTAGGTCGTTGAGTTTAAGTCTCTGTGCACAGGGCTGCGGTTCGATGCTCCTTGGCCAGAGCGGCTGCAATGTACCCGTTGCGCATTTCCTTAAGCGTTGCCAGTATTTGTTTGTCCTCGGCTTGCGAGGCTGGCATCACTCCAGATGGTGATGTTCAGGACCAGAGCATGTCTTCCAACACCCGGTTGAATCCTTGTTGTCCGCGTGTAAAGACTGGGATGACGCCCGCATGGAGGAAGCGGAGGGCGAGGAGCCTGCCCCGGTGCGCTCGTCAGTTCTTGTACGGCTTCATCCACCCATTTCGCTACTTAGGGAGTCTACCCTCCTCCAGGTTACATCTTTGTCAGTGTGGTGGAGTAGCCTTTATGAGAGAGTATGACCACTAGACGCTTAAACGAGTCTGATGCCTTGTCGTCACCTTGAATAGCTGGTGTCTCTTGATGAAGCTGCCCTGGCCAGGTCTCCGAGCCGGCGGAAGGCGCAGCTCGCGAAGTGCAGCCGAGGCGAGGCAGCCTGAGATCCTGAGATCCGGCTTTCAGAATTGAAAGAAGGGGTCTGGTTCCGAGTTTCGAATTCCGAGGACAGCACTTTTCCAAGTGCTTGCTAGCATACACATTACACATACACGTACACCTGCGCACGGACAGACAGGCCGAGAGACAGGCAGACATACATACAGTCACACAGATATGCATGCGCCACACAGATGTACACTTCCCAGGAGGTGTGCATGTCAACGTCAGGGTTAAGAGAAAGTGTAAGGAAGGAGCAGCTGGCTCAGGATCCTGGGCTACGAGTGCGAAACGGGGCAAATCCACTTCAGCCCGACCTTCCACTTCAAGACCCTGTTGAATCGCTTCACAGCTCCAAGGCTGCAGGCATACTCGCGTTTAGCCTTAAAACCAGAAATAAAGGGTGTGTGTGTATGTGTGTCGCAGGGGACCTGGGATCCGAAAGGGTTTAAAGGCCAAGTGTGGGGCTCTCCTGTCGTCACAATGTGGCTTGGCAACCTACGCATTCCAGCCAGTCCCAGTGGCCGCTGAAGGTAGCAAACCGTTCGAAGATTGCACGTCCGCACAACTGGCGAATCTTTCCGGCGAGCGGTGCTGCTTGGCTGTGCTCGGTATTCCTGTGGAAACATGGAAATCAAGCGTTTCTTTAGGGAACCAATCAAGAAGATCTTGCAGAGCATAATCTTCTGAGCAGTCAGGGCCTGTCTGATGTGCAAGAATCAATAGCCTACATAGCACAAGATGCTGTCAAAATGTGCACTGGCATCACTTCCGGATGCTCAAAGGCTGACGTCTCGGCGACCATGTTGAAGCATAGATGCCAAGATCTTTGGATTCTGCTGCAAGTTGGATGAAGGTACGGTGGCAGCGGGCAGCACCCCGGAGTTCCAGATTGAGTTTGCGCCGAAGGAGGTGGACGACTTCGTCGGGATTCTGGCCAGCTGGATGCAAATCTGCGGGCGGTCGGAACACGGAGTAGGTAAGTTTCTGTTTTATCGTCCAATGACCACCGCAGCCACGCCCAGGACGGTCGCATGCCAATCCAGGAGCGGGAGAGATGAGTTTGCTTTCGCAGCCGTGTGTAGCTCCGTGGGTGTTTGTGCCAGTCGCAGATGCGTGCAGACATGCAGACCGCGCAGATACCAGGGCAAGCACATGGCACATGCAGAGTCAAGGGCTGCCTCAACAGCTCTAAGCTGGACAGCTTGCCGCAATCGTGAAGTCTTTGGGGGTTGCTGGAGGATCCGATGCGCATCCGCTTGCAAGCTTCCGCTCTGCGGCCCTGGTGGCGCTTCGAGGCCAAAGCCGTCTGAGCAATCTAAAGCGATCCTGAAAAGCACCGGAAGCAGCAGACATCTGGTCGGGGTATGCCGGGGTCCCGTAGGTGCTCAGCGACTGCAGATCACGACGTCAAGCGGAGACGCCTCCGGATCCGAAGTGCCAGGCTTCAGCGAACACGCTACCTCGTTTGATCATGGCGAGCAAGACTCAGAGGGTGTCTCACCGCATTTCCACAGGTCATTGAGTTCGAGTCGCTCGGCACGCGGGTACGGAACACCAAGCGGTTTTATGCTCATCGGCCAAAAGCTACAAAGCACCGTGCTTTGCCGCACGGAGCATGTTTAACAAGGTCTTGTACCGCAACTCCGACACCTAGGAGTTGCATTGGGTGCCCGAAGAGTCTGACAACAGGGAGGCCGAGGACTCCTTCTGCTACTTCACGAAGCCATGTCCTCGGAACCTTTCGTGTTTTGCCACTTACAGTAGCCTTTTGGAGCAGCTCCATGCCTCCTTTGCGCGCGAGGCGGGGCATCATCCGTAAGACGTACGAGATGCTCTTCAAGTACCTGCCAGCAGCTTCCTGGATGCAAGTTGACGCCCGGTATGGAATCTCGCGTGGCGACTTGGTTTCATCGACTCTTTGCTTTCAGGAGGACCATAAGATGGACGGGTTTCGGTGGCTCTTCTCACGGCGGACAGTGAAGGATCCTCTTATGGGGCCCCTCGGCCACTCGGCGACGAACCACCTCCAGGCCAATCGCGAAAACGTTTTCCTTGGTATGGCCTCAGGATTGGAGCGCAATTGCATCAAGTTCATCCGCTTTCGGCTCGGTGGGAAGACGATGGAGAAGGTCTGCGTTGTCAACAAGCTGCAGGCTTGAGGCTCCGTTGAAGCCCTGATGTTGCATTGCCGACAGGAACTCTTGAGTCTTGAGCTTTTTGGACCACGATCGCAACAGATCCGCGACCGCACGGCCGCCATCCATGTCCCCGGACTCCGCCGTTGTTGGACGTGGCTCCAATCACAGTGTTCGTTAAAGTTCCCATTTCAAGTTCCAAAGTTGTTCGAGGTTTCATATAGAAGCCCCTGACATGCAAGGTTGCAACAAGGAGCGTGGCATGCTGTGACCTCGGCTGTGTCTTGTCACGGCTGACGTTTTTCGTGCAGGGCACGCTTGACTCCCAGGAATCTGGTGCATTTGCACAGAGAGCTTGCCGCGAAGAAGTATGGTCTGGTCCGTGAAAAGAACTGCAAAGACGCAAGTGGGAAGCAAGCTGGAGTTCCTGGTGTCCCCTTCTGAGACGAGGTGCAGCAGGTGTGGCACCTCACCTGCTCGTGCAATGCAAGGGCGGAGAGTTGTCAAGATTTTCCAAGGCGTTATGGCTCGCATTTTCTACAGATGAGACACTGGATGCAGAGAGTCATGCCGACGTCGGACGCTTTGGATAACGAGGAAATTCGACACGGAGGCTGCCCCGCCCACCGCCTCCCGCGAGGTGGGCGAACCTCCGTGATGTTGGAATTCAAACTGCATCAGAGGATGCAATCGTCAGCTTCCCCTTCGATGGGTTCCCCGCCGCAACCACTATAGTTGGCTTGGAAGCCAAACGAGTGCTTGGCAGAACCCCTGATCCACTTCTGGTGGACCCACGAGTCAATGTTGCAACCGGGAAGCAAGGTTTTCAATTCGTTCAGCTGGATGTTTAGGCGTAGGAGATTGCCGGAGCTGAACGATTGAACTTTAATGACTGCGGCGTTCCTGTGCATGATCCAGAAGTTCGCAAAAGGGCGTCGCCTCCTGGCCGGTCGCGAAGTTCGGGTTGGAGAATAATCTTACAGAGCCTCGTTGTCTTGATGTTGTTGTTTTCGGTTGGGCACCGGAATCTTCAGATTTCCTTGCTGCAGACCTTCACTCACATGGCTCCGAAATCGGAGGCCTGTTGCAAGGCATGCAAGACGATGGGTACAGGGAAGTTGGTTTGCGGGTTATCTCTCCAACGATGTCGGTGAGCCTGGGATATAGGAGCACTGACGTTCACTTATCATGGACAGTAAATTGTGTTCTGGGAGAGCGAGCCTGCAGAAGCAATTACTTTGCAAGGTACTACTTGCCTGCTTGGCATCATCAGTATCAGTATGCTCTTTAGTATTTTGCTTATTTGCAGCAGTAGTTTTCTCAAAGGTAGCGGTGCTTTTCATTAGTATTGTTAGTTATTGGTCCGAGTATGAGCAGTAGCATGAGAATTGGAGTTAATATCAGGATCAACAGCATCAGTATCCGTACCAAAACTAACAATCGCTTCCGTGTTGATATTAGTATGAGTGGGGGCGAGCTGGAATTTTACGATTGGCGTGGTCGGCCGCTCGTTCTGCCATGTCGTGAGATTTTGCGAATGTTGTGCCGTAGAACTTGAGGCCGTGATTGAGGTTCTGACTTGTTACATGGCGAAGCCTGCTTTCTGTCGACTGCAGCACAGCTGACGGTCTCGTGTGCGAGTGACGTGGAGGGAAGTGGAGCTCGTCAGTGCTGTTTTGGGCCCGATCCTCGAGGATTCTGGTACTTCCCCTGAGCGATGGCTCCCAAGCTGTTTCGAGGGGATGCCTCGGCCGGGCCTGGAGGATCTTTTATTTATATAAATACATAAATGCCTCAATCCCTGGCACGTCCCTGGAATCGAGGCATTTATTTATTTTTGTAAAAAAAAATCATCCGCGCCCGGCCGGAGCTTCAAGCCTGGCTTCGATCCCCACGACCTGCCGGGGATGGACGCATTTATTTATTTTTATAAAAAAAAATCATCCGGGCCCGGCCGGAGCTTCAAGCCTGGCTTCGACCCTCACGACCTGCCGGGGATGGACGCATTTATTTATTTTTATAAAAAAGAATCCTCCGGGCCCGGCCGGAGCTTCAAGCCTGGCTTCGATCCCCACGACCTGCCGGGGATGGACGCATTTATTTATTTATATAAATAAATCCTCCGGGCCCGGCCGGAGCTTCAAGCCTGGCTTCGACCCCCATCCCCGTCCACGACACGCAGGGCTGATGCAGGGCAGCCTAGTAGGGATTAGGGTTCTAGAGGGTTCGGGCCAGGAGGTTCGGGACTTAGGGTAACCGGGGGCTGCAGACCACACGAACCTGGAAGACATCGAACCGACCTGGGTGCAGGGCCAGCTTGCAGAACATGCCGATGCGCGCACACAGCAGGCAAAGCGGCAGGACTTTGTGCAGTCGCACAGCTCAGCGGCGAGGCCTTGGACCGACCAAACCCCACCCGAGGAGCGGCCCGTCAGCCACGCAGCGTGGTCCTGTGTACAGACACCAGCCTGTACGCTGGGTCTTCCGGATGAGCGGCTCGGATTCTGTACGCCGCGCCGCTAGACATCTTTGCGAGCTTGCCAAGCCAGGCGTCGCCGAACATCGTTGTCAGTTCCCAGCTGAGGCGCTGAAGGGCCTGATCGATGTCCAGCGCCGGCTCCCGTAAGAACGTCCTCGTCACCGTGGCCGCGAAGGCACGGGACTGGCGGTAGCCTTGGTGCGTCCGGACTCGCCCCGCCAGCTCCTCGAGCCGCTGCAACTGCCGACCCTTGCAGCGCTCGAGCGCGATGTTCATCTCCATCATCTGCGACTCGAGATCAAAGGTTTCCGGATAGCAAGCAAGCCAGACTCGGCCTCGGAGGACGACGTGCGGATGACCATTCAGGGTGTGGACGCGGTGCGAGATGAACAAGGCGGTCTCGCGCTCCACTTCGGCAAACGTGCGGCCGAGACTGATGCGCAAGCACTCCCGCATGGCGAGACTGCAATTGGCCAGCCGCCCGAGCGTCTCCACCCCGCCGAAATCCTCTGGTCCCACCACCAGCAGGTACTGGAATACCAGGCTCCACGGGATTTCGTGCAGGCGTGCGAATGGCACGCTGACTGCAGAGCTCCGCCCAGGCTGCTCGGTCCGCCTTGCCCGGAAGCCACGTGCGAGCTCCATGATCCGCTCCATGAAGAGCTACAGAAGAGGCTGTGACAAGCTCGAGAGGGCACAAAACTAGCGCAGAAGCACGGCGTCAATGCAGCAAGCGAGGCACAGCTGCACTTCCGAAAAGCGAACCGGGCTCCAGGCATCCTCTGACGAAGGACCTGAGGGCGAGCCAGCAACAAGAACAGGCTTGCTGAAAGACCTACGGCACGACGGCAACAAGAGGCAAAGCTGCAAAGCCTGTCACTCGCGCTTGCGATGGGTCTGTGCGGCAAGCGTCGATCTGCAAAACAAGACCGAAGCGAATGGCACTTGCAGGCTACACTTTCACCTATGCCAAACCTAGGCGCCACTCGCTTCGGCACGGCCGGAGGCCGCAGGGTCTGGCAAAAGCCTCACGCCCATAACTGCATCATCGCGCTTCGTGGTGGCGACGTACTTCGGGCCATAGGAGGCCCCCAGGTTACCGGCCGCTGTCTTCGCCGCAGCATTGGTCCCCAAAGCCATGAAGCGCTGCAGCGCGGCCACCACATCGCCCAGGAGGCTCGCGTCCTTCTTGGGTACCAGCTCGCAGCACTGCTCCAGGAAAGACGCCTGCCGGGCGTCCGCACTCTCCTGGACGGACGAAGGGGCAGGGACGAGGTCCAGGGCACTCATCTTCATCTCCGGCGGCTGAGGCTGCAGCTCGGTGCCCGGGTTGAGGTCGGAGCGCAGCGTATCCACGAGGTTCGCCGCGAAGTAGAAGAGGTACTTGTTGAAGTCGCCTCGATTGATGCGAGATTTCAAGTCGTCCACCGCCAAGGCCTCAGTCGCCGAGTCGGGGCGCAAGGTGAAGCGGACTGTCGTCTGGCACACACGAAGCCGGCGCAGCATGCCGTCGGCTCGAAGAACCTGGGGCGGCGAGTTCGAAGTGGCCACCAGCAGAGCCGTCGGCATGAAATCCCGAGGACCCTTATGCAGCTTCCGGCTTGTGACCGGCGCTCCTTCCATCTCACAAAATGGTTTGATAAAATCGTCTGCGAGGGCATAGTGCTCGGGGACTTCGCTTGCCCAGGCCAGGCGCTTCCCGGCAGTCCTCGCGTGGTAGGGGGCCGCAGAGTCCTTTGCGGGCGCGTGCCGGGTCAGCAGCACCACGTAGTCGCCCGGCAAGCTGACCGCGTAGTTCTGCTCGCCGTGGCCGAAGAAGGGCCTCCCCAAATGTAGTACATCTCGCAGAACCGTGGCGTGGCAGTGATCGCCCTCGTCATGATCCGCAGCTCGTAGAGCACGGAGTCCCAGTCCCCGTAGGCCTTCAGGTAGCCAACGATCACCCTTCTGCCGGCCTCGCTGCCCTCGAGAAGCCCACGCCCGTTGCCAGGTTTTGCCGCGCCCGGCCGAACATGACGTGGTGTCGGCATCTCTGGCGCAGCCGCGCGTACTCCTCCGTCTCCATGGACGCCCTCAGCTTCCAGTCCAGGTTGGAGAACATCCCGGCCGCCCAGACCCACGGATCCTCCAGCTCCTGCGTCGACACCTTGATGTCGGGCACGGCGGCGACCACGAAGCGGATGCCACTGCGGACAATCCCTACACTACACCGTCGTTCTGGTGATCGTTGAAGAAGCCGCCGCAGCCTTCCCGCATCTTGCCCAGGTAGATGTTCTCCTGGTGGGCATAGATCGGAGAAAGCGCCGGAGGCGCGGGAGCGCCCCTTGTCCAGATTCCACTGCTTCGCCTCCGTCATGGTCTCGAAGACGTCCGTGTGCCACTTGCGCGCCTGGGCCTCGAACTTGTAGAGCCAGGCCGCCAGCGGTCCGCGCACAGCCGCCGCGCCTTCTTCGAATGGCCCGAGAGCAAAACCTGCCCAATGGCTTCGAGCTTCTCCTCGCAGCGCTCCAGGTACTCCGCCAAGGCCTCCGGCAGCGGGACTAACTACCTTGTGGAGCAGCTGAAAGAAGGCGTTGCAGATGTCCACCTCGACCGAGTCCAGCCTGTGCCGCACGATGTAACGGACCAACTTTGTGAAGGCGAAGGCGGGCGGCGCCCCGGCCGCATGAGCACTGGCACCCAGCCTATGCCATCGGAGCCGAGCACGTCGAACAAAGCACTGTCGGGGCAGCGTCGGACCGCGTCCAGTCGCAAGGCCTCGGCGATCGTCACGCAGTCCACCCTCTGTGGGAAGAGCTTGTACTCCGTGAGGTTCAGGTCCGGGGCTCCGCGAACTCCCGTGAGGAGCCGGCTCGTCCTGTCGCTCCAGTCAGGCTCCTCGTCGGGGTGCACCGGCTCCTCGGACTGCGCCGGCTCTTCGGTCTGCAAGGGCCCCTCTAAGTGCGCCGGCTCCTCGGACTGCACCGGCTCTTCGGTCTGCAACGGCCCCTCCAACTGCGCCGACTCCTGCAACGTCTGCAACGGCTCCTCGGACTGCACCGGCTCCTCGGACTGCAACGGCTGCCCTGCCTCTTCGGACCGCACCGCCGGCTCTTCGGACCGTGCTCGCTCCTCGGACTGCCCTGCACGCTGGGCAGCCTTCATTGCCTTCATGAACCTGTCCAAGCCTGGGCCGATTGGCGTGGCTTGTGGCGCGGCCTTTGGCGTGGCCTTGGGCGTGGTCTTGGGCGCAGCCTTTGGCGCGGTAGTCGGCGTGCAGGGCTCGATGAAGTCGCTCCTCTAGATCACTCATCGGGTCCCGGCGGATAGAGTCCGGGAACCATTTGCCTGTAGCAAGTCCGCGTGGTGCCTGCGAAGAGTCGGCAGCCGAACTTCGCAGCTGGCTGGTGGTCAGGGCTCAGCACAAGCTGCACCGCCAACGCTTGCGCCTCGCCGCTCATCATGACACCTATCCTTAAAGCTGGGGGCTCGGGAAGGCGCCAGCTGCGACGAATGCACAAGCACGCCAACCAGCCGGCTTCGAGAGGCGACACAGAGAGCACCGGGGGTCCAGGCGATGAAACGTCCGTGAAGCGAGCCGCACCGAAGACTCCAGACCTGCAGAGATGGCTTCTGGTCCGAGAATGGGGAGGTCCTGTATCGCCGCGATCCTGCAGGACGGCTCCGTGGACGTTGTGGCCATCCAGGCGACAGACACGGCTTTTGCCGCGATCCTGAAGGACGGCTCCGTGCGGACCTGGGGCCATTCGACCAGCGACCGTGCGGGCTTGGTGAAGGTCCGAGAGATCCAGGCCAACAACGCGGCCTTCGCGGCCATCTTGGAAGACGGCTCTGTGGTGACCTGGGGCGATGCCGAGTGGGCCGTCGGTGCAGAACGTGAGGTGCATACAGGCCACAAAAAGCGCCTTTGCAGCAATCCTGCATGATGGCTCCGTGGTCCCCGAAGATCTCGCCGACCTCTTCTGCATCGCCCCATGCCACGACACTGCCATCCCATCGAATCGCGGCAAAGGCTCCTTGGGTGGCCTGGACGGCGATCACGCCGTCCACCAATCGAACTAGGAGAATCGCCGTCGCCGGGCATAAGGGGCTTCGACCCGCCTCGGTCCGGGTTACCCCAGCAGTCGATCATGCCATCGTACCTTATGGCCACGAAGGCGCTGTCAGTGGACTGGAGTTGCTCGACCGCCGCCACGTCCATGTCTGCACCCAGCTTGCCGCCACAAGCTTCGTCGCCCCACCGCACGTTCCATCATCCAAGAGGGCTGCGAAGGCGCGGAGGGTGCTCTGCACCGCTTTCACCCCCTTTGCGCCACCTCGGCCGCCGCCAGCAGGGTCCCCCGCTGCCTCCGCGGTGCCATCGCCATGCAGGATCGCGTCGCGCTCCCACTCGCAGTCGCCAGCGTGCAGGGCAAAATCGACTGGAACATCAGGACCTCATCCCCCAGCCTCGCCTCCTTCACCTGGCTCCGTCGCACGCAGCAGGCGGCCTGGACAGACAAGGCCACATCGCCCAAGCTCTCATCGGGCTCTGCCGGGATGGTGGCCTCGTGCCCACTAGCCCCCTACCCTTGAACCTGCGAGCGCGGCAAAAAACAAGGTCAAGTGCAGGGGCAAGGGGAATCGCGCACTCACTTGCAAAGCACACAGGGCGAAAGGGGGCAACCTACCGGTGGGGCCGAAAGGGGATAGGGTGCCCTGAAAACTTAAGGGAAGGGAAACCCGGGGTTAGGGGGGTAATGGGGAAAACCATGCGGCACACTTTTAAAAAACTCGCCCCCCTGACTGCAAAAAGCGGATGCTGCACTTCATCATAGCCTAAAAGGCCGGTGACTGCAGCACGCGGGGATAACAACTGGCACAATCGCCTAATTAGTCCATTTCCATCAACGACGACGAACCAACGTCGTCCTTGTTTCATGTGTTTACTCATGGGTGTTTTACTTTACCATGTTCCAAACACAACATTTCGGCCCAAGACACGCGTGCTTCAGCATAGCTTAAAGCTTCGCTCCATGCTTTAAAATTTTGAACATGCAGCAGATTGCTTTTACTTTTCATGCACATGATTTACTTCAGCATGCGTCAGTTTTGCAGTTTTGTGCAACATAGCTTCTTTGCGTCCTTTGATGGACTCGGAGGCTGACCCTGCTCCACAGTCGGCAGAGCTTCAACAAACTTTACAGTGGTTGGACCTCCCTGTCAGGCAATTTGACATTGCATTGTGTGAGGCAACTTTATCTGACAGGATCGCTGCATTGGAGGAGCAACTTTCCGCTCTCCAGTCGGCTCGCCAAACCTCTTTGGCCAAGCTGGAAGAGTACCGCACTTACTTTGACAGTAGTCTTTGGAGCCTTTTCGAAGGTGCCAAGAAGCAAGCCAGCAAAGAGAGTGCAGCGATCCGTGAAGATTTCTTTGCTGCTTTACTTGAGCTCCGCGAAGACACTCTCGAAGCTTTGGGCGGAGTACACGAAAGAGTAGATCATATTTTTCAGCAACGATTGCCTGCTTTGCATACAGACATTGATATTTTGAGTGCTCGCCTTCAAATTCTTGAAGGCCAACCGGAGCGTACAGACGGTGATTCTTTTCTGGATTCCCTTGATTGAGACATGGCAGATGCTTCCGATGATAGTCGCTTTCGTGTGAAACGTTACAGGCGACAACCTGAGGAGGCTTCTTTACAAGACGCTCCCATGGAGCGGGAAGACGGTAAGGATGATTCCAGCCCTGCTTTGACACTTTCTTCAGGTGATGGTTCCTTTGCTGTGGTGGAGGCCACTTCGGCGTTTGATTTGCCGGTACCATCATCCTGGAACACCCAAGTGGAAGCCTCGGCCTCGACCATGCTTTCCACTGGTGGACAGGCCTTCTCCAGCGGCTACGGCGCCGTCTCGGGGTGATGTGCCCAAAGCTCGACCGGTTTTCTCTCAGCGCTCTGCCTTTACGCTGCGGTCTTCACAGGACGCAAGAGACAGACCTGCTTTTCGTTCTGCTCGTGATTACGCGGTCTTCCCCTCAGAATCCAGGCCTCCTTCGTCGGTCTCCTGCTTTTCAGGCACTTGGGACGAGGCTGGCAGTTCAGCTTTGAGTGACCCTGTGGTGGACAACCTCCTTCAGGCGGCAGATGCTTTTGCTTCCTCAGCAGAATATGCATTTCCTCCAGAATCACCCAAAGTACTGCCTGGCAAATTCGCTTTGCCAGCCCGGCCCGCAACCTCGACAGCACGGGTTACTTTGCAGAACGATGTGCATGCAAAGCTCCGCGCCAAGGGACTTCTTTTGTGGCGCCAGCTGGTTTTGCTCCTTGCACCTTTGAGCTCTGCTTTGCAGGAAATCTTGGAGTCGGCATCCTCAGAAGCTTTATGATGAAATGTGAGTCTCGCATGTCAGCCACCGGAGAGCAAGGTTACGCAGCAGGCACGGAGTGCCCAAGCAATTGCGTGAAGATCTTGAGTAAACCTAGCATGTCCCTGCACTTTGTACACTACGGCAGGTAGACTTCTAGGTAGCACTGTGTAAAGATGGTTATGGTAACATGCCATGATCGACAGAAGCCAGCACATGTGTGTTTGTGGGAAAAACAGCGATCTCAATTCGAAGCCATGGTTTTCTGAACTTCCGACCCCTCCAACGAAGAACGAGGACGATCCTACCCGGGTCGTGAAGTTTCTCAGGTTATGAGCGCCCAATCCACGCAATGTGGTGCGGGTGGAAGCAGAAACTTGGCAGGCGACGTACCTACCTACGGAGGTGTGGACCTGGGTGGAGCTCGTGGTCCGATGCCCAATGGTGGGGAAGCCATGAATCGAGCTATGGCTGAAGGCCGTGACCTACTGAACGGTGTGGTGAATGGTGGCCCGTTTGAAGGTCGCCAGGAACCACACGTGCCCGGTAGGTCAGGTCCGACGGGCTCGCTATCAACTACTCGGCCGACGGAAGCGGCCCCCGAACCATCGTCGTCAGCAAGGCCCCCTGCGGATCCTGTTCCGAGAACTACTGCGAGGAGTGCAGGAAGTTTGGATGGGCTCCTTGGTGTGGAGATGCCTACGATGGTGGGAACCGGAACTGGCGCGACGGTAGATTCCGGAACGGGCGCGAGCGCACGAAGGTTTCAGGGTGAAACGTTGGGGTTGAGGAGTAGGCCAGGTCAGCAGCCAGCGACAACTCCAGAGCAACACGACATCAGTACACCCCGACAGGTGCCTTCAACCTCACAACAACAGCCCCAACAGCAGCCACCGCCGCCGCCACCTCCAACACAGCAGCCAGCAGCACAGCCTCCTCAACGTTTGCAGCAGCAACCAGCGACTACTCAACCTGTTGTTCAGGATGGTTTGCTGGCGGAAGGCAACGTGGGAGTCAATGCAGGCCCAATTGCCGCGGCAGTGCCTCAGTTGACTGATCAAAGGAATGCCTTGGTTGCAGCACTTCAGGCGAGGGCGGCAAGGATGGTCCAGGATGGTGTGGGGGACAGTCCTGGAGCTGTGTCAGTGGAGTCGGGAGAGATGGTAGAGCACAACGGGGAGCAGATGGTTTGGTTTGCTCGACTACGGGGATTTGTTCAACGAGGCTTGGAGAGAATGAGGCCCCCGGCTGCTTCCCCGAACTCATGGTACTCGCAATCCCCTACCTGGTCTATCGCTACGCCTAACTTCCCTGTACCGCAAGAACAACAACCTCGTCTCCTGCAAGGACCCTTTGCCCAGCAAGAACAGCAACCTCGACTACTGCAGGGACTTTCTGGAACGCATGAACAACAGCCCCGACTACCTGCAGGGATCCCTCGTGAACATCCAGGTGATCAATCATCGACGGGCTCTATCCAACCGGAGGTTGTGCAAGAGGAGGTGAGGAGGGCGGTGCAGCAGGCTATGCAGCAAAGAGATCATCGTGTCAATGATTTGCAGGCGGAAAATGCGGAGCTTCGACAGCTCCTGGCGTCGATGATGGAAGTGAACACCGATGCAAGGGGAGTTCAAGGAGGCACAGGACCTATGCCAGGTGAAGGGTCGGGGCTTCAACCAAGAGGCCGGGAAGCCGATCTAGGCACAGGCTTCGGACCTCCTGAACGAGGTGAACCTCATCGGTCCTCGGACGCAGGTGCCGAACTTCCGCGTGGTCCTCCAGGTCTACCTCTACCAGCTCGAGGGCTCAGGGGTGATCTAGGTGGACTGCGAGGAGAGCAAGATCGGTGGATCAATGAGCCAGCTGGAAGGCGTCTGAGTGGTGGTGGCCAGAGTGATGCCACAGGAAAGCCCCAGGGCTACCAGGAACAAGGCGCCAGTCTCGGCGCTCAGGCTGATGGTCACCGACAAGATGATGGGAGGGCCCAGCCGGCCCCAATGGACCTCCTTGCGGAGGGGATCAAGCAGCTTCAGCAGCTGCAGCTACGACGGGACGGACATGATCCGGAAATCTTGAAGGGAAGCGTGGAGCTCCCCAAGCTCCCGGAGCCCTACCAGGACCAAAGTGCCATCGCGTTTCTTGAGTGGATCTACGAGGTGGGACAGGTCGTGGGCTCGATCACGGATAAGGCGGCGGGATGGTGGAGTGCGAACGTGGAGTTAGCGATGGAGGCCTACCACCGATTCCAGGCCGAGGTCCCTCTCAAGAGACTCCATGTGCAAGCCTTGGAGAGCCCGGAGGTAGATCCTGAGAAGTGGGCAAGATTGGAGCGGAGAGTGATGACTTTGTTATTGTCAGCTATGTCCCCTACGATCAAGGCGGAGATCACGATGCTCCGGATCAACCGTGTGAAGGATTGCCTCTTCAAGTTGTACACCACCTTCGCTCCATCCTGGAGGGGCGAGTGAGAGGGCAAGTTTGATCCGGCAGCTTGAGCACATTAGACCCGAGGGGAACATTGTGGACTTGATCGCCTCACTTCGAAAGTGGAAGAAGCTGACAGGACGGGCGGCTGAGATGGGAGTAGCTCTGCCGGATGGTTCGGTCCTCCTAATGGCCTTAGAGGGTGCGATCAAGACTGTGGTTGAAGGCAACAAGGATGTGGCGTTCAAGCTGAACATGGCGAAGCAGGAGCTGCGGCTACCCTACCAGCCCTCCTTGACTGCGGTTCTTACCTATGCGGACCACATCCTCGCAGAGCTCCAGCAAGTGATCCCCTTCAATGCCAAGGAGCAGGGCGCCAAGCTGAAGGGCATGACTTCGGATCCCGGATCTCCAACATCCTCGGCGTCCTCACCTACCGGAAAGGGCCAGGGGCAAAGGGCACCTTGCAAGTTTTGGCTGTCGCCAGAAGGATGTCGGCGTGGTGCTGCCTGTAAGTTCAGTCATGTGTTCGCGACCAAGGAGGACAAGAAGGCGAGATGCTGGACGTGTGGTTCTACAATGCACCGACAAGCTGAATGTCCGACCAAGCAAGGTGGCAAGCGATCACAGAAGGGCGACCCCGAGAAGAACAAGCAGGCCCCATTGGCTTCGAACCCCCAGGTGGCGTCGCTCACTGCACCCTTGCCGTCTACCGCGGTCCCGGTGACACCGGCAACCACAGCGAACTCAACCTTGGAGCACCCAATGGGCCCGCCTACGGAGAGATCGCCTCTGACCTCAGCTACTACCACAGCGGATCCAATGGCTACCTCCAGTGGCTCCTCTTCTGCGGCTTCGACGGTTCTGTTTTCTGAGCAGGCTGCGGGGGAGGTTCGAGAACTAGCTGAGCAGTTCCTGTCGAAGATCAAGAGGCTGGCTCCGATGCAGGCGCAGACGGACGGAGCTGTGATGAACTTGGAGCTTCTTCTTCGTTCCCAAGGGCTTGGTGAAAGTCACGGTATGGCCCTACTGGATAGTGGTGCTTCGCATGCCTATCGGGCACCACACTCAAAGGAAGAGGCCTCCACGGCCCGCAAGGTCAGAGTGCAGCTCGCAGATGGCAAGACGATCTACCTCCGCCAGAACAAGGGAGGCACTCTCCTTGCGGAGGAGGAACAAGGAGGAGGGACTATCCTACCACTCGGAAGCCTCGTCAGCTCCCTTGGCTGTGAGCTCAAGTGGAGCAGAAAAAAGGGGCTCCAGGTGCGACACCCGGTCCATGGGATTCTGCCCACGAAGCTCGTGGGGGATACGCCTGTGCTCCGTGAAGCCGAAGCACTTCAACTCATTGCGGATTTGGAACAAGTGGAACTGGGAAAGCTTGAGAAGCAAACGGAAGAAGGAGTGCTGAAAATGATCGCGTCGGAAGAGGAGACGGTCACCACGTGGATAGACTGTGCTGAAGCATTTGTAGAGACCGGCGAACGGGCAAGTTTGAGGCGGATGTTGTTGGACCCCGAAGCTCCTCTACAAGCTCCTTTGGAAGAAGACATTGCAGCTCTTCTTGGCGTAGACGACAAGCTTCTTCTCTCTGATGAGGCAGGTGCTCACTACTTGAAGGCACTGCCCTGGAACCGGACTATGAGAAAGAGGCTTCTCAGGACGAGGTGGATCGTCCACTTGTACAATGGAGACGAGCAGGGTGCCGAGCTTTCCCGGGCAGAGTCTGATGATGTCACTGTGGTTCGGATGGACATCCGGAACAACAAGGCCTTCGACCTCCGCACCTACACGCCGGCTGTGCGAGCCCTTATGTGGGCAGCGGCAAGGGGACAGATCGAAGGGATACTTGGAGGACCACCTCGAGGGTCAGAGTCCGGCTCAATGCTGTTCCGCAGGATGATGCTGCTTTGGCTGGTAGCACATACCGGTGCCACCAGGGAGTGCTTGTGCTCCCCCTTCTTCATGATGGAGGCACCAACTTGGCACCCGGTGTGGACCAGTTTCACCTGGACCCGTTTCAAGGAGGAGTTTCGCTACCTCCGCTACCACGCCGTTGCCTCCAAGACCGGGGTGTACTTCATGGCGGGAACGCTTCCGATCTCGGATGGTTTGACTGTGGAGGAGAGTGAGATCCCACGGCTCAACTACCCCTCGCCGGAATCGAGCTGGCCTGTTGAGTTGAAGACCGGCTTAGCGGAGGCTATGGTACAGTGGAGAAATGGAAGCCGGCGACAACGAGAGGCCATGATGTGCAAGCTCGCCGGACCCAAGGAGATGAATGCGCGAGACTTGGCCTACTGGGAGAAGCACGTTGCCAATGGACATGTTCCCTATGATCGAAGGTGTCGGACTTGCGTCCGTGCCGCAGCAACTGGCCGTGCACACAGACGGTGCGTTGCCCCTTCGGCCTACACCCTGGGCATTGACATCGCGGGTCCCTTCAGGACAAAGGGAGAAACAGCAGGGGAAAGGGGCCATAGATACCTCCTTATTGGTGCTTATTGCCATCCTCGTTTGGAACTGGCAAAGGACGCGGACCTACCGGAGGAAGAGGAGGAGGAACAGATTGAAGCCGAGATCGACCCCTTCGAAGAGGACCGGAGAGACGCGGAGCAACTCGATGAGGAGGAGGATGAGGAGCAGAAGGCGATGAACGAACGCTTTAAGGCCCTCTACAAGGATGTTGGTGACGACATTGACTACCAGACTCTCCCCTTTGTTGTTCCAATGAAGACTCGCACGGCGAAGGAAGTGAGGTCACGGATCCAGCAGATCTACCTACAGCTACGACAACAAGGGCTTCCGTTGGTGCGCATCCACAGTGACCGTGGGTTGGAGCTAATGGCCCAGGAAACAAGGGAGTGGATGGCGAGTCGGGACATCCTGGCAACGACAGGAGAGAGTCAGCAACCTCAACAGAACGGCCGGGCAGAGGCGATGGTTAGGGTCATCAAGAGCCGGGTGAAGCTTCTGTTGAGAGCTGCCTCCTTGCCTATGTCCTGTTGGCCCCTTGCTGCGGAATTTCATGCCAAACGACAGCGAGACTTGGCCCTGGGTGACCGATCTGATGCGGCATTGCCGTTTGGAGCGCCAGTCCACGTGAAACATAAGAGGTTCGGGCAGGGTGGTCGATATGATCTTGCTGAACGCTGGCGTTCCGGTACCTTCGTTGGATACTCAGGGGACGTCCGTGGAGGACGCGTGGTGCGTCACGATGATGGGAGTTACACGACGGCTGTGCACATCAAGCCGTACCTCATCGACTCCGACGACTTGGTGAACCATGGGCCCTTTGAGATGGAAGTGGAGGACCCAGTACGTCGAGTTAGGGGAAAAACCTCCTTGGCCCAATTCCTCCTGGATCCTACTACAGAAGTCGACCGCAAGGCCAAGGACCTCATGGATGCAGAGCTCTACGGGGTGGAGAACATAGTGGAACTGTGGGATGCCCTGAGGATTTACGCGAAGACTACTACACGAACAACCCAGGGCGAGGGTCTGCAATGGCTGATGGGCCAGTACACCCATGGAGGACAATGTGGAGTCACTTTGGATTCTGACCGGTTTCCGGTGGTCACTGCCTATATGGTCAAGGCCTTCCAGAAGATCACTGGGATCACGGACTTCACGTCCCTCCTCCTGACGGAGAATGTGGGAATGCAGATCCACCGCGACGTTCACAACTATGTGGGAAGGAACAATGTGTTACTTCCTCTACTACCATGTGATCAGGGCGGCGGAGTTTGGGTGGAGTCGGATCCGGAGGATTATGATGTCGCCGATGAATGGAGGCAGCTCCCGAGAGGGGACTGGCGAAGAGGAGGAGTTCGAGATCTACGACCTGGGCAACCCATCTCGTTCAACCCGCGGAAGTTCCATCAGACAGAGGAGTGGAAGGGGAAGAGGTTGGTTCTTACGGCATATACTCCGAGGACATCGAAGATGAAGCAGCCCACCTACGACCAGTTGGTGGAGTATGGTTTCCAACCACCACCCTTGCCTCCGCGAGTACCTGATCAACTACAACGGGTAGTGCTCAACATGATGAATGTCACGGAGAACTTCCCCGAGTCGGAGGCGATGATGTTCCAGATGAGCAGAACCCAGGAGGAGCGCAGTGAGAAGGCCCAGGAGCTAAGCCAGGAATTGCGGCAACTTCAAGAGGATGTACTTGGGCGACTACAGGAACGCCGGGAATGGTTGCAAGACTTCTTGGCTGAGGAGGAGATTCTGGCGGAAGAGTTCAATACGGTGGGAGAGGTGATTCGAGAGGAGATAAAAGGGATCAACGAGGTGGTCAGGGACCTGATCAAGGATGTTGATGATCAAGTGAAGGAAGTGGAGTCCCGTTGCCACAACCTCTACCTCAAGGTGGCCAATGTCATGGACGACAAGGAGATTGGGGACATTGAGGAATACCTTGTCAGCCTCAAGAAGGATTTGGACGTGACGCTGGATGTTCCGCTGGAGCAGGTGAAGGCGAACATTGGCGACTGGATCGAGCCTATGGACAAGGAGCTCACCAATCTAGGGTCCAAGACGAACGCCATCGAGCCCCGAACTCTCACAGAAGCAAGGAGAATGGTGAAGGAAGGATCTCTGATCCTTATTCCTGGCAAAGTCGTGTTTACCGTGAAGCCTCCTGCGCCGGAGACCAAGGCAGAGAAGAAGTCCACTGGTGCAAGGTGGAAACGCAAAGCGAGGATAGTGATATGTGGCAACCTCGCCAACCAGTCCTTGAGCGCCAGCGAGCTGTACGCAGCGGGCGCCTCCGTTGAGGCGCTCCGCTTGGCTCTGGCCATCGCGTCGGCACTTGGATGGATCGCTGCTGCTACTGATGTTTCAGCGGCATTCCTTCAGGCGGAGTGGCCGTCGAACAGGCCAACGTACGGTGTGATACCGCCTAAAATCCTGGTGCAGGCGAACCTCGTTCCGGAGGACATGGTGTTTGTAGTGAGAAGGGCACTCTACGGTTTGAGAGAAAGCCCGGCACTATGGGCCAACCACCGCACAAAGGTTTTGAAGGAGATCATGGTGCATTGCGCGGAGGGGTATTTGTGGTTGAGGCCGTTGATCACCGATGGTGAACTTTGGTTGATCCTCTTCATGCCGAACGGAGCGGATCGCCCCCAGCTGAAGGGGCTCCTGGTCACCTATGTGGACGACCTCCTTTACCTGGCGAAGAAGGCAATCATCTTGTTGCTGCATGGCAAGATCGCCTCGATTTGGCCCTGTTCGGAGTTGGAGTTCTCTGACAAGGGGCTCCGCTACTTGGGTATGGAGCTTGACCAGGACGGTGATAACTTCACATTGGGACAGGAGGCCTATGTCACCAACTTGGTGAGACTTCATGGTCTGGATCCCCAAGCTGCCGCAGGCCTGCCTTGCCCGAAGGAGTGGATCCAAGATGATGAGGTTGAGGGTGAGGTGGAGAACTTCAATGCAGAGGAGCTCACCAGGGCTCAGAAGGTCACAGGAGAGTGTCTTTGGCTAGCCTACCGCACAAGGCCTGACATTTTATTTGTCACGAACTACATGGCGGCAATGACGGCCAAGAGACCGGTGAAGGTCTACCAAGTGGGCTTGAAGGTGATTGCTTATCTCAACGCGACTGCGACGCTCAAGTTGAAGGTCGAAGCTGCAGCAGAGCCAACGCAGTCCGCAACAGCAGAGCCAACGCAGTCCACAGCAGAGCCCACGCAGTCCACAGCAGAGCCCACGCAGTCCACAGCAGAGCAACATGAGGCAGGTTTCCGTGTAGGGTTGTCGGGATTCAGCGATGCGTCGTTTGCTCCGTATGGTGGCAAGAGCTTTGGCTGTAGCATGGTTATGGTGGGTCGTACACCTGTTTCTTGGAAGGCTGGCAAGCAGAGCATGGTGGCTATGTCAGTTTGTGAAGCAGAGCTGATGGAGGGATCCACGTGTGCCTTGCTGTTGGAATCCACTCAGGCAATGTTGAAGGAGATTTTACCGCAGGAGGAACCGCCGAGCCTGTTCATCGACAACATGGCGGCCCACAACATCCTGAATGGTTCATCTGGAAGCTGGAGGACGAGACATTTACGCATCAGACATTCTTATGTGTTGGACCAGGTGATGAATGGAAGCCTACGAGTGGTCCACCTTCCAGGGGAGGACCAGCCTGCGGACCTACCTACCAAGTTGCACAGCCGTGCCCGACTGATGCACTTGTTGGGTGTATGGAATATGGTTGGCCTGCCGGAGTTGAATGGAGCAAAGACAATGAAGTTCATGAAGCTGGGATGCTTGTTCCTGCTTATGCTGGCGGTGCAATCGTTGGCTGTGTCAGCCCAGAAGGAGCCTTTGCAGATGACTGGGTCAGGAGAGTTGCTGATGATGTTGCTTCTGACGTGTATTTCTGCTGTAGCTGTCTGGGAGGCGACGAAGTTGCTCTACCGCTATGCAGTGCATCATGTGTTTGGCACCAAGCGATCAAGGAGGATCAACAAGTTGAGGGAGTTGGCTAAGGCAGCAGCGGAGGCGGAGATCGAGAAGTGGGTGGAGCAAGACGAGCCTACATCCAGTGAGAGCGTGACACGCTCTCTACGACAAGTTCTCCGAGAAGAACGCGAGAGCCAGGCGCACACGCCCAGGCCCTCGCCTAGGCCTCTGGCTCCAATGAACATCGAAGACACCCGTGAAAGTGTTTTTGGAGGCCAGAGACCAAGGACCCCGCCGTTGCCACGACCGTCGACTCCACCACCATCTAGACGTATGTCTACGCCGACGACCCCGGACTCCGCGGATGGTACAGGGCAATTTGAGCGTGATCGGGTTTGTCGAGATGTTCTAGGCCTACTTACAGTGAAGAACCTCAAGTCGGGCCTTGAGAACGAGGGCTTACCTGTCTCAGGTCTCAAGGAGGACCTGGTACGACGCCTTGCCATGACGATGGGTGATGAGACACCATCTTCGATGAGACCAACAACACGACAGTTGAAGTACATTTTGTACGTGTGGCGCCACCGTAGCCTCTCGGGGCGGACTGAGCTCTCTTGGGCAACCGTTTCCTCGAAGATTGCGACTTCGGAATGGTTGGCTCAATGGAAGGATGCCTGACAACTTAGTGCGCGAGACACGAATGTGGTCCAAGCCGCAGGCAAGGACCAAGGAGGAGTGATGAAATGTGAGTCTCGCATGTCAGCCACCGGAGAGCAAGGTTACGCAGCAGGCACGGAGTGCCCAAGCAATTGCGTGAAGATCTTGAGTAAACCTAGCATGTCCCTGCACTTTGTACACTACGGCAGGTAGACTTCTAGGTAGCACTGTGTAAAGATGGTTATGGTAACATGCCATGATCGACAGAAGCCAGCACATGTGTGTTTGTGGGAAAAACAGCGATCTCAATTCGAAGCCATGGTTTTCTGAACTTCCGACCCCTCCAACGAAGAACGAGGACGATCCTACCCGGGTCGTGAAGTTTCTCACTTTACTAGCTCAGCTGGTGGCGTCCGTGGCAGACACCACATTGGTCAGGTATGTGCAGAGTTGCTTGCAGTACTTTGCTTTGCATCAGGATCTGGGTTTTGATGCATCTCGGATCTCCCAGGTGCAAGCCTATGATGTTATGATACAGCTTTACCGGTCCCCTGAGGATGAAGAAGAAGTTCCCACGTCATGCTTTCCCCTCAATACGTTGAAGGCTCTGAGGTGGATGGTCAAGGTGGCCACCATTTCCTTTCCGGATCTTTACACAGGCCTTTTTCATTCGGTGGCTCACCAACGTAACGAAGCAGATCGCCGAGAGTCAGTGCCTTTGCCTCTGGATTTTGTTGCTTACCTGGAGTTTTGCCTGCTTTCAAATACCTTTCCTGATCTGCAATTGAACATCGGGGCGCTCCTGGTTATGATTTGGGGCTCTCTGCGGTTCAGCGATGCCATGCATGTGAAGTGGGGATCTTTACTTTACGAACAAGAGGTGGGCCGTGGAATTTCTTTCCGGACCAAGACCTCAGTGCGTGGTGCTCCCTTTGGGGTGGTAGGAGTGGGCCTTCTCGGTCCATGGTTCCAGCTATGGCTTGCTTTACTGAAAAATGAATGGTGTCGTATTGGTAAGGTGGCGGGCCCTGTGGAGCCAGATGCCTTACTTTTCCATGCGAGCGACGACGAGTTGTTCGTTCCCATGACATATGGGGAGGGCCTTGCTACTTTACGTCACCTTTTATTGCGTTGGAACAAGCTTTCAGGTGCTCAGGTGCAAATGGAAGCAGATCTGGCAGGTGCTACTTTTCCTTTGGCATCGGACCCTGGTGATGTTGTGGCCCCAGAGAAGGCAACCACACTTCCTTTGCACTCGTCAGGTGAGTCAGGCAGCAGGCACTCCGGATGAGCTTCTTTTCATCATCGCTGCCAAGACTATTCATAAGGCGGTGGTTTGCTCGGAGCTCGACCGTTGCACTACTTTCCAAGGAGTGCATCTGAAACCTGCCTGCGGGTGTATAGTCAGTGTCTTTCAAGTTGTGCATTTTGCACCTACAGGTAAGAAGCTTTGCAGACACAAGGCATGCTTGGAGCTTTGAGCTTTTGCGGGAAAACCTTTGTCAGGTGCAGGCAGGGAGTGCATGTGAGTGCAGTGCATATGCCTTCTCCTTTACTGCGCTCTGCCAGCCTCGCCTGTCACAGCCTCGGCTCGCTTCCAGCTTTAGCCACTACGTTCGGGGGCCGCCCGACTGCTTTGCGTACAAGGCTCGATGCACAGCTTGCGTGAATACTCAGCTTTTCTGCAGGGTGCTGTGAAGTGCAGGTTTTGCACGACAGTTGTGTACTCGCTTTCTCAGTCGGTCGTGACTACTTTACGCCAATAGCTTTACGGTCGTGCCCTGCGTTGTTATAGCGCCCTAATTTGCGTCAAATTGGCTATTGCGTCTGGCTTGCGTCATGATTCGCGCCTAATGTGCGCTGAATGCGTCGCTTGCGTCATCTCTGCGCCCACTTTGCGCCCTAATGTGCGCCAACGTCATCATTTGCGTGGCTTTTGCGTCCTAATGTGCGCCTAATCGAACGCCGCATGCGTCGATTGCGTCACCTTTGCGTCTTAATGTGCGCCCTCATGTGCGCACCAGCGGCACTCTAATGTGCGCAGGCGTCAGCTTTGCGTTATTTCTTACGTTTCGTAAGATGCGTCAAACTCCATTCAAATTCGGAGCATATTCGCTTCAAATTCCACTCAAATTCGCTTCAAATTCCATTCAAATTCTTTCAAATTCGCTTCAAATTCCCTACGTTACGGGCCAAGCTTTACTATGCTTTTCGCGTTCGTCATGGTCGAGAGGTACATGCTTCTGCGTGCAGCTTTGCTTCATGTTTTGCACATGTCTGGCTTGTGCAGCATACGTTCGGATGCAGAACTTTGCTCTCATGTGAAGCTTCATGTTGCCGCGCAGAGCTTTGCCCGAGACTTTGCGCGCGTCCCTTCGCAACCCTCCGCTTTACTTTGCGTCATGGCACAGAGTGACTACTTCCCGGAGAACTTTTCGGAGCTCTCGGCTTGGGATCTCTCTGGGATGCCTCGGAGCATTTTGCAGGGCGGGAAGGCTATTCCCGTGAGGAGTGGTTCAGCTTCTGGCGTTCAGCTTTGCAAGATCGAGTGGATGCTCCGACCCAGGAGTTTGGTTCTACTTTGCCTTCTCCTACCACGGCGGAGCCAGCACCCTCGGATGAACTTGATGGGGCTACGACAGAGGATGCCTCTACTTTGCATACAGCAACAGAGGTTCCCTCGTCTGCTTTGCCAGCCTCAGAAGTTCCTTACCACGAATGGGGAACACTGGGTTCCGACACCGGCGCCTTCCTGGGAGGAAGAAACTTGGGGCCCCTCGGAGCCCTGGGTTCCCACTGAAATTACACAGCGCCTTGAGCGCTGGGACCCACGCCCGGATTCGACTACTTTGCAGACGACTTCCGAAGGTCCGGGCGAAACTTTGCCGTGCACCGTGGATGCGGATCCACCCGCCACACCGCCGGCAGCTGAGGTGCTTTCCACTGATGAGCCGCCCTCTTCTTTGCCTACACCTACCACGGAGGAGGCGGAGGACTTCAACTATGTGCCGTGGAACTTTTCGCAGCTTACGGAGTCAGAGTTGTGGCAGGCTACGGCATTCTTTGAAGATTGGATGGGGTACGATAGACAGCAGTGGCTGGAGTTTTGGCTTTCTTTGCGGGCATCCCAGGGGAGTTCGGATACTTTGCACCCGACTCCAGATGGTGCAGCTGGCTCCACCGCGGATACCCAGCCGGATCCTTTACCTTCAGCGACCTCTACCGAGTCGTCCCCTCCCTTACGATCGTCGGCTACTTCGGGGACTACCCCAGCACAGGACGGTAGTTCTTTGCCGCAAAGCTCAGAGCCAACGGACGGTGATGGAACCCGACCTTTACCGCGCAACCAGCGTGTTTTCCGAACTGCGTGGGGTGAGACCCAGTTGATTCAACGGGCAACGGTATTTTGGTGCCGCGAAGGCTGCACCAACTGCTCAGGAGCAGGAACGTGCGGTGCTACTTTGCTAGACCCTCATCATCCTCACGTCCATCGTTGCAGACTCTGTTATGGAGAATACCGTCGACGCCAGGGGCGCAATACTTTTTGCAATGCGTATGGGCAGTAGCCTCATACTTTACCGCCAGACGCGTCCTCCATGGTGCTTTTTCTGGCTGTAAAGTCCTTAATTGCGTCTGCTACTTTACTCTAGCGTTATGCTTCTTTTATGTACGCTTTGCTCAGCTTTGCACGGGCCTCCGGCCTCTTTTCTTTGCGTCTGGGACCCAGCAGCACGCGTCATCGACCTACTTTGCTTCGCGAGAAAAGATTCGGCTTGCTCTGATGCACTTTTGCGACATGGTCATGCATAACTTCTGCCACCCGTGCGATTGTCAGGTCATGGATTCTTTATCCTCGAGATCTACGGTGCAGCAGTTGGCCACAGCTTTGCAGCTTTCCATTCCGGTGTCAGCTGCATCTCTCGGAGACTCCACACTGCTTTCGTTTGGCCTTGGCACTGTGAACCTGGAAGGTCTCGATGCTTTACTGGCATCCAAAGGCTGGTCACCTGATGCTGATGAGCTCCCTGTTCTCAGGATGCTGTGGGTGCAGGCCCACAAGATCTGTACTTTGCCGTCGGTGGCCTCAGATACCTCGGCGAGTACTTTGCACTCATCTTGGGCAGAGACCTTTCCTCCCAAACTTTCCACAGAAACCACTTTACAGTTGAAGCGTGATTTCGAGAAAGCCTACCCTTCCGAAGTTCTCGACGACACCAACTTTCCGAGTGCACGCCTACTTTCCCTTGCTTACAGGCTAAAAGGCACGACGGACTGGAAGTTCATCTCCTGGAAACACAGACTTTCCAAACAGCAAGAAGAAGACTACAACTCGGCTCGGCCCAGAAAGTTGGCAAGATTTGAGAACTTTACCGACGTCCTTTACGACGACGTGCCCTCGCGTAACGTTGCGGAGAATATGGGATTGTATGGGATAAGCAATTTACTTTCCATACATTCCAACGCCCTCGCGCTTGCGGACATTGCTCATCTCGCTACTTTACGTTCCTATGAGCGTAAGTTCTTGAAACATGTCCAGGCGAGAACAGACCCAACTTTGCGCCCACCAACGCACAGGAGTGCGAAGCCGCGGCTCGCTCCTTTCAAAGGCGGCAAGAAAGGGGATGGCAAGGGTGGAAAGGAGCCCTGGAAGGGCCACACTCCCAAGGGGGGTAAGTCCACGGGGGGCAAAGGCGGCACAACTCCGGGAAAGGGGAAGTCTACCTTTACCAAAGGTACTCATGCCTTTGAGTGGGCAAACAAGGCGAAGATCAATGGAGAGACCAAGGTGCTTTGCATGGCATACAGTACCCACAAAGGCTGCACTTCCAACAATTGCAAGTTTGAGCACCTTTGCCCCGTGATCCTGGAGAACGGTAAGATTTGCCTGCAGAAGCATCCGGCTTTTCAGCATGCACAAAAGGCAGGTGCATGAGGGGGACCGGGCCTGGACTATGCAGGCGAGGAAGGCCTGGTTCCAGTTGCTTTGCCTGCAGATGCTACAGGAGATGCTCCTTTTCCACAACCATGTGCTACCCCTCCGGAGCCCGTGGTACAGAGTACTCCTCAGAACTTTGCATGCTCTGTCTCGGAACTCGACTCAGGCTTTTTCCTGGACATCAACGGGGGGCCCGGCGCCCTCTTTCAGCAGCATTTCTTGGAGCTGGCTGTGATACTTTCTCGGTCGCTCCCGAAATTTTCCCTGAACGTGACCTTCTACAAGACGATTTCTTCTTTGCCTTGCTCAGGGTTTGTCACTCTGGGCAGGTTGCCCTTTTGCACATCCTGCTTTGCGCCAGTGATTTCTCATCGAGTCTTTTCGAGCGCATGATTCAGATAGCACACGCATGCTTTGCGGCGGGTTCTCATGTACTGCTTTCTCAGCACTCTAATTCTGCAGTATGGAGCCAAGCTTCGGTGATTTTTCTTTTACAGGAGATGGGCGCAGACGCTATTTTCTGGGACCCACAACGGTTTGGTTGCAACTTTGAAGGCTTTGGGCTCCTGGCTGCATCCTTTTCAGCTTTGCAGTTTTTAGCCACTACATCCTCGACGGGGTCGTCAATGCAGGCCCATCGGGAATTCGACTTTTCTTCATTGAGTGCGGACTTTGTGCTCGCGGTGGCCGAGGGTTCTTTGCATCTTTTCGCTCAGCGAAGCCCGGAACCCAAAGATTTGCAGTTTGGCCACATTCCTTTTCTGAGGCACATCAAAGAGAGATTCGAGCCACCCTTTGCCAACCAGGATGGTGCTGGGATTTACTCGGTGCCTGATTGGAGTACGCCTCCGCCTGGGGTTCAGGATGTACTTTGTGATCTCAGGTCCAAACTTCGACAGTGGATCTTTGACGAAAAGATCCCACAACGTCTACAGGCCCATGCTTTACTGCACAGCTCAAAGCCACTCTTTCAGGAAGTTGAGATTCAGCATCTCAGACAGCTTTTCCAATCCTGGGTCTCGGAACAAGGATCGTCACATGTGGTTGACTGGACGATTCCGGATCATCAACCTTATGCTTTGCATGCTTTGAAGTTCTTCTCAGAGTTTGTCAAGGACAAGGATGATACACTTTGCCAGTGCCTGCTTGATGGTGTTCCCACAGGATACGACAGTGACATCCCGCTTTCCAAGGTTTTCATACCGCATCCGTCGGCACCGGAACTTGATCACCAGCTTTCCATTGCCAAGGACAACTGGCAGAGTGCCAATAATGACCCGGATACTTTGCGGGAGCTGGTGCATGCTGAGGTCCAGAAAGGATGGTTGTTTGAGATGCCTTCTTTGCAGGCGGCACAGGAGCGTTGGGGAGAGCGCGTTGCAGTAGGGAAAATGTCCCTTGTACTTTCTCCCCCGAGAGCTCCCAGGCTGGTGGTTGACTCCACTGTGTGTGGCACCAACGATGCATGCTCTATTCCTGAGCGCTATACTTTGCCAGGTCTACAAGATGTTCGAGATTGCTTTCCTTTACGCCTTCATGCAGGCCTGTGTGAAGGCTTCCATCTCGACGTCAAGGCGGCGCATAAAACGGTTCGTGTCAAAGAGGCGGACCAGGGACTGCTTGGTGTCACTTTACCGGGAGAAGAGGGTAAAGATGACAAACTTTTCTTTTACCGGAGCAAACTTTTCTGCTTTGTGGTTTCAACGGCTGGCGGGTATGCTTTTACGCCTCATGCATCTCTGGATCTTTGTGCGCCATGCTCTCATGGGTTACGTCGACGATTTCCTTTTCATCCAGGACCGTGAGTGCATCCTTTATTCCGCGTCACTCTTACTTTGCTTTACATCTATATTCGGAGTGCCTTTGAGCTGGGCCAAGTTGCAATTGGGGAGTTGCATTACCTGGATTGGCTGGACATTCAACTTTACCAGCGGCTCTTTTCATATTCCGCAAGAAAAAGTTGATAAGCTTTTCAATTTGATCAAGGAAGCTACACGGTCCAGAAGGGTTACGAGTGCTTTGCTCCACAAGTTGGTGGGACTCCTACAGTGGTTCTGTCAGCTTTACAGATCGTGCAAGCCTTGGCTTGCGTCTCTTTTCTCAGATCTGCATCGGCATTTGGCTTCCCAGTATAGCATATCACAGGGGCTCTGGCCTTCTTTGGCTAACTACCTAGATGATGATCTCCGCTTTACATCCGTACCTCCGGGTACCCAAGTTCCACTTGGAGGCAAGCTACTGGAAGCACGACATACAGAACTGAAAACAAAGCAAGACCTTTGCAAGGTACGTACTTCCAATCGGATCTGGATACGGGTGACCAATCCCAAATCTGATCGGCGTTCTTTGTCACCAGCAACGCGGACCTTTCTTTCATTCTGGAGAGAATGGTGTCAAATACCTCAGCCTTACACTGCTCTTTCTGTTCCTTTGCGACTCCAGGTTGAGGCCTTTGCGGATGCAAGAGCTGATGGCGAGCTTATTGGGATTGGCGGTTTTATTGCTTTCCCGTCTGGTGCATACATCTGGTTTTCTCAAGCTTGGCAACTTTCCGATCTGTCAGTTTTGGGTTTGGAACTTCGCCGACCCGCGCACAAAGATATTGCCTGTTATGAGACTTTGGCGCAGATTGCTTTGGTACATGCTTACAGGTCAGTATTTCCTTCGGGTCGAGTGGCAGTTCGCCTCCCCTCCTTTTCTGACAACGCCTCGACAGAGGCATTGGGTGCGAAACTTTACACCGCCAAGTGGCCACTGGGAGCGTTTGCCCAGAAACTTTCTCTCATATCCGCAGCTTCGGGTATCGAGCTGGATATTTCTCACATCGCCGGTGAGAAAAATGATGATGCAGATATGTTGAGCAGGTGGAATCAAACTGATTCTTTACCTGACAAATGGCGCAAAGAAGACCGGGTGGACTGCTCTCTCAAGTTCATCTGGTTCTTTCGCAAGGAGGTCCTTGTGTGGCCTTCCCACTTTTCTTTACCAGCAGTGACACAGGAACGACATGTGTCAGATGATGACATATGACAGTGCCCGCAGGATCTTTGCCCGGGGCCTTTATGCCGCTGCTTTACGCCCGCAGGATGTTTGCCCGGGGTGCAGCATGTGTTCCACCCGCAGGATGATTGCCCGGGGTGGCATGGTGCTGCTTTACGCCCGCAGGATTGTTGCCCGGGGTGCAGCGTTTCACTGAGCGAGCGCGTCAAACCCTCACTTTGAACGTTGGGGAACCATAGGGCGAGACTTTGACTTTGCCGGTTAAACTGTGGGTCTAAACTTTCGAAGCTTCGTTGTAGCTTTACTTTGCTTAGCTTTGGCTTGCAGCTTCAACTTACTTCTCGCGTTCCGGCAAAGTCAAAAGGTCTCTCTGCTTAGCTTTGCTGTGTAGCTCGTAGCGTGTCTTGGGTTAGGTAAAGTTGAACGTTTCATGTGTTTACTCATGGGTGTTTTACTTTACCATGTTCCAAACACAACATTTCGGCCCAAGACACGCGTGCTTCAGCATAGCTTAAAGCTTCGCTCCATGCTTTAAAATTTTGACCCACCCGCCCTACCCTTTGTGATGTTGTATCTTAGCTGTTATCATAGCTTTTTATACTTTTCGTACTTTTGTTGCTTTACTATGGGCGAGGGGGGGTCTAAACTTTCGAAGCTTCGTTGTAGCTTTACTTTGCTTAGCTTTGGCTTGCAGCTTCAACTTACTTCTCGCGTTTCCGGCAAAGTCAAAAGGTCTCTCTGCTTAGCTTTGCTGTGTAGCTCGTAGCGTGTCTTGGGTTAGGTAAAGTTGAACCTTCTCGATCTCGCCCTCTGCCTTGGGTTTGTCGTCCTTTTTCTCGCCCTCTGTCTTGGGCTTCTCACCCTTCTTCTTCTTCTTCTTGTTTTTCTTCTTCGATTCTGACGAGGTAGCGGCGCCTGGGACAGCAACGCCTTCCTCTGGCTCTGGCTCAAGCAATGGCAGATCTTCATCGTGTTCACACCGTCGGCAGGCGGCGGCGTCATGCCTTGCAGCTGCTGCTGAAGTCGGGCAGCCATCGCCTGCTGCTGACGCTCGCTCAAGCCGAGGAACCACTCGCGATGCACTGGCACTTGCCACACGCGGTTCTGCGCGTCTTCAATCGCAATGAGTGCCTCATGCTCACTCAGCTGCCGTGCCATGTCTGGAGGGTCGAGGGCCGAAGGTTTCTGCCGTGGTTCTGCCGGGAGCTACGCAATGCAACCACTGAGTCGCTGCTGTGCCGCCTGTGCTGCTGTGCCGCCTATGCTGCTCTACTGTACCTGTGCTAAGCGTGCCGCCTACATGCTGCTGTGCTGCTATGTCATGCCTCGTGCTCTCCTAGACGAGCCGCGGCGCGGAACGACAAGTTGAAAGCAAAGACGCGGAAGAGGGGGCCTACGGGGTTAGGGCAGCAGGGCACTCGCAGGGACGCGGGGTGTCAAAGCCTACTGCTTGGGGTCGAAGGGGTTCGGGTACCCTGAACCAAACCAAAAAGCAACCCCGGCAAAAGCACTCTAGCAAAATTGTTACTGCAAAAGTCGGCGGGCCTAGCTAGAATACTCTTACGAAAGAAAAATGAAAAAGCAATCAAGGGTCTCCCCACAGCGCCCACGACCAACCGGGCGAAGGGGAGTCGCTCTCTAAGGGACGCCGGACGCTGTGGCGACGCATAGGGTGCGGCCACGGGCCCCGGCGAGCTCCCCCTGGGTGCTGTTCATGTGCGGACTCTCCTGCCTCACAAGCCACGTCGGGATGGGCCTCCGGGGGGCTAGCTAAAAGCAGGAGTCACGAATACCGTACTCACACCATGGTGAATGTTGTGGGTCTGCGGCGCGTGCCAGCCAAAGCCAAGGTGGCGATGGCGGCTTCAGCGCAGACCCGACACAACAACTGTGCATGCTCATCCTAAACCCCCACGGATCAGGTCGGCGATAGCCACAGGCTCGCCGCCAATCGACACTGAGCGCACCCGGCCACGAAAACTTGAGCCAAACCTAGGGCCGAGGGGACATATCCACCGAAATCGCGCGCTCGCCACAGTCGGGTGTGAAACGGCCCGGCAAAGCCTTTTGGGCCATGCGCGGCCCTTCCCGAGGCTGGCTGTGTCGCTTTTGGCCGGCGGGCCCGGCAAGGTGCGTGAAACATAGGCAGGGCGCACCCCGAAAATCATCGCCGAAGCGGTTCCGTGATGCTCGGCGATTTTGTGTGGCTGTGTTCCACCCATCCTAAACCCTCACCGACCACGTTCCGGGGCTGGCCGGCACCGATTTGATAGGGAAGGGGCGATTCGGCCGAGATCGCGCTCAAATGCTAGGCGGGGGACACACCGAAATCGGGCTCTCACCGGTGCGTGGTCGGCTCGCAAAACGGCCCTCGGCAGCCGAGGGCCGTCGGGCCGCACCCTCCCCGGGCGGCTTCAAAATCGAAAAAAAATGGGGTGCGTGTTTTTGGCGAAAGATGCTGTCAATGCAAAAAAATGGATTTGGCGTGCCGGAACGCCACGGAGGAGCCGACCGAAGCCAATCTCGTGCGACTGCTGGATCTGTGGTCGGCGGACTGGAAGCACCGGGGCCGCACCCGGGCGGTGGGGCCGGGGGCCTATGAGCGATATGCAACGCTGGGGCTCTTCGGGCACGGCGGGGTGGTCGGAGCAGCCGTGAACGGGTTTCTCAAGAGCCGCTTTCCGTGGCACCTCCATCGCCGTGCTCTTCAACCCACGCATGGGCTTGCGCCGTGACATTCAGAACATGGCGGGGCACTCGAACCATGCGTTCGCTCTCGGAGACTATGCAGGAGGGCGGGTGTGGATCGAAGATGACGAAGGGGACTCCACGGCGTGGCTGGCCGACAAGAAAGGGGGGCGAGAGCTGCGGGGTCGGTGGCTGGACATGCACGATGAGCCGGTGAGCTTCGATGCTCGCCGCTATCACATGGTGGTGCCCACACGAAGGCAGCACGGCGGGGCCGGGAGAGTGTTTTATTTATATAAAAAAATAAATGCCTACCGGGCTGTGGTGGGGGATAGAGGCATTTAGATTTTATATTAATAAAGAAGGCGCCTCTCTCTGGGGAGGGTGTTCCAGGGCTCCACTCTGTGATAGCTACAAGCCCAAGTTCGAGACATAGGTCAGAATTCGGTGCTTAGGAGCGCTGTCGATTCGCAGGCCTACGGCCCGCAGCTCGAGCGATCTTAGGGGCTCTAAAGTGCGAGCAAAACGGGCTCTAGAGGGGTTTTTCGCGCGCGGCACTTCGAAGTCGCCGTTCGCGGACTCGCGAGCTGACTGCGGGCTACCTACGAGCTGCCGACGAGCAACCTACGAGCCGCCGACGAGCAGCCTACGAGCCGCCGACGAGCAGCCTACGAGCAACATCGAGCAGAGCCGCTGACGAGCAGCCCCCGGCAGGCCTCGACCCCTGGCAGCTCGTGGGCCGCCGACGAGCAGCTCCGCAGCTCGCAAGCCCTCCGAGCGCCCTGAGGGCTTGCGAAGCCGCGCGCACCCAGTTTGCTCGCACTTTAGAGCCCCTGCGATTGCGAACCCTACGGCCTCCAGCCCTCAAAATCGACAGGCCTTCGAAGTACCGAATTCTAGCTTATGTCTCGAAACAAGCCTCGTAGCTACTACAGAGTGGAGAGCTGGAACACCCTCCCCAGAGAGAGCGAGCCGGGACCGCCGTGCAGATTGTTTTTGGGCTCCGAGGCAAATAAACCGGAAGTGAAAGCATCAGACGTGCCCAGGGTTACGTGCCCCTTGGGATACTACTCGGAGTGAGCGACTGTCCTAGAGGACTGCTAGAATCTGCAGGGGTTCAATCATCGTGGGGGTGCGACAAACTGAATTTAATAACGGGCCCCACTGCACCCTAATATACCTACCTACCTTTCTGGTAAGCTCCGAGGCTTACAAACCGGAAGTGAAAGCATCGGACGTGTTTCTGTGTGGTCTTCACCCAAAATGGGACCAAGAGACCTTTACGGTGGGCTCTAAGGCATAGAAGCCGGAAGTGAAAGCATCATCAGACGTTTCTCTGTGCGGTCTTCACACTAAAGTGACACCAAGAAACCTTCGACTTTGTCTTCGCGCAATGTCGGCAATATTGCGCAAGGGACTGCGGGGGATGCACGGTTGGAGTGAGTGTGTGAGGGAGTTTGGGAGTCAAGAAGTGGTTTGGGTGAGCGTGTGAGTGAATGCGCAAGTCACGGAGTGTCTAATGTTGTCTCCTGATTATTAAACCCCCCCCTCAACCCCAATAATAACGGAGGGTCCGACTCTCTGATCTTTAGTTGTTTGGGGGACCGGGGTCGAAGTTGTTTGGGACCCGGGGCTCTCAGACTCTCAGTAGTAGTACAGTAGTACAGTAGTACAGTACAGTGGTAGTACAGTAGTTATTGAGGGGACCTTTTATTATTGAGTTCCGGGCCGAGTTTAGCTCTATTGAGGGGGCCTTGAAAAATCACGAGCTCACGAGCTCACATTATCTGCGATTGCTGCAATATGAGATTTGAGACCAGTTCTCTGCAGCCGAACCCAGTGCAAACATAACGTGCGCGCGGCCATTCAACGTGTAGATGTGTAGAAGTTTCTTGGACTTCGGCTATCTTGCTTCCGAGGGCCGTGACGCACTTTCAGAACTTTCAGTCTCTTTCTTTCCTTCAACATTGAAGGGCGTCCAGCACGTTACGATCTTCAGTTTCCCGTTGAAACTTTCGGAGTTTCGGATGGCTGAATGAGTGGCAGCCGCACAGCTCCGCAGTGTACGGAAAGCCCTGACGAAAGCATGTGCAAGAGCTTTGGTCGGACACCCAATATTGTCCCGTTGTCTGGCATGGTTATCCTTTGAGGTGCCATGCCGCCGAAAGCGAAGGCTAAAGCCAAAGGCCAAAGGAGCATGCCTGGCATGCTTCCCATTGAGCCGGAATGTGTCCCCTGTTTTGGGGTCCGAAAACTGGGTATGGTTTGGGGTCCGTGGGGGGTGGCCTCCCTAGTTGCAGCTGCAATTGGTTAGACAGTTAGACTACATGCAGCGGGTTTTCAATTTCACCGTTGAAATCGAATGTGTGTTCAAGAGAAGCAGGAATTGGGTGCTTCACCTTGGAGTTGTCCAGCTGCATCTTGCGAATGACTGGTGGACGGTATTTCTCAACCTGCGTCAGATTTTGTGACTCCAAGAACGAGCTTGAGAGTGGTTTTCCGGCACCAAAATGCGGGCCCCAAAATGGGCCCGTTTTTTGAGCCTTCCTTAATTGTGCCAATACTAGAACGCTCCAGAAACGGGCCCGAATTCCGGGCCCATTTTTGGGCCCCGCTTTTTTACACTTTCTGAACGCAGTTTGTGACAAAATGCCAGCAAGCAAGTATTGCTGTGAAGGCTACAATCTTTCACAGTTTCGCTTTGTTTTTTACGCAGCCAACATGACAGCTTGAGCTGCTGCAGGTTTCAGAGACAACGACAACAACGTTGTTGTGCAGCTATGCAATTGAGCAAGCGAAGCATGATAATCCGGCACTGTTGCAGCTGCAATTGGTTAGACAGTTAGACTACATGCAGCGGGTTTTCAATTTCACCGTTGAAATCGAATGTGTGTTCAAGAGAAGCAGGAATTGGGTGCTTCACCTTGGAGTTGTCCAGCTGCATCTTGCGAATGACTGGTGGACGGTATTTCTCAACCTGCGTCAGATTTTGTGACTCCAAGAACGAGCTTGAGAGTGGTTTTCCGGCACCAAAATGCGGGCCCCAAAATGGGCCCGTTTTCTGAGCCTTCCTTAATTGTGCCAATACTAGAACGCTCCAGAAACGGGCCCGAATTCCGGGCCCATTTTTGGGCCCCGCTTTTTTACACTTTCTGAACGCAGTTTGTGACAAAATGCCAGCAAGCAAGTATTGCTGTGAAGGCTACAATCTTTCACAGTTTCGCTTTGTTTTTTACGCAGCCAACATGACAGCTTGAGCTGCTGCAGGTTTCAGAGGCAACGACAACAACGCTGTTGTGCAGCTATGCAGTTGAGCAAGCGAAGCATGATAATCCGGCACTGTTGCAGCTGCAATTGGTTAGACAGTTAGACTACATGCAGCGGGTTTTCAATTTCACCGTTGAAATCGAATGTGTGTTCAAGAGAAGCAGGAATTGGGTGCTTCACCTTGGAGTTGTCCAGCTGCATCTTGCGAATGACTGGTGGACGGTATTTCTCAACCTGCGTCAGATTTTGTGACTCCAAGAACGAGCTTGAGAGTGGTTTTCCGGCACCAAAATGCGGGCCCAAAAATGGGCCCGTTTTCTGAGCCTTCCTTAATTGTGCCAATACTAGAAGGCTCCAGAAACGGGCCCGAATTCCGGGCCCATTTTTGGGCCCCGCTTTTTTACACTTTCTGAACGCAGTTTGTGACAAAATGCCAGCAAGCAAGTATTGCTGTGACGGCTACAATCTTTCACAGTTTCGCTTTCTTTTTTACGCAGCCAACATGACAGCTTGAGCTGCTGCAGGTTTCAGAGACAACGACAACAACGCTGTTGTGCAGCTATGCAATTGAGCAAGCGAAGCATGATAATCCGGCACTGTATTCGATGTGCGTTTCTCACCGGGAGTTACCTGGACCGCGAGCTGTACATGCACCAACCGAAGACCGGCTTCCCCGGTATGGTTCCAGGACAGTTGGTGAGGGTGAAGAGTCGGGTCTCCGCGTGTTTCTCTTGCGTCATCGTCACCTTGTCATTCTCAACGGAGATCTGAGAACCCAGGAACTCGAACTTGTCAACTTCCCAGGTCTGTATTTCGAACTTTGCCAGCGCCTGCTGCACTAGTTCTTGTTGTAATCGCCGAGCAGCAGCGATGAGCAAGTCATCGACGTGGCCTCCCAGGTATGCCACTGGCTCGCCGTAGAAGCTGTCGTTTTCGCAACGGCGAAGTATGAAAATGCACGGGTCCATCGGGGACTGGTCGAACCTGTATGTGGCCTTGCCGTCGAGGTGGGGCAACTCGAGCTCGATGTCGAAGATCCCGGCCTGAAGATCCTGCCACCAAGTGTGGGGGCTCGTAGCGAGGCCGAAGACATTCTTTTTGATCCTCGAGATCCCAGTCGGGCTTGATGAAGGTGAGCCGGCGCCCCCAGGGTGAGCGACAACCGAAGTCTGATCGGCGCCCTCTCGTGGATGAGCGCACAGACTCGTCCAGACTTGAACTGTTAGCATGGCGCAGCAGTTGCAAAAGTCCCCGACGTGCGGCGACCGAAGGTTCACCAACGGCATCGCTGCCAAGGCCTACCAGTTCAGGACACGTGGCTTGGAATTCCGAGCAATACCCGAGGGAAGGCTCATGGTCGTCGTCGACCACGACGCAGCGTGGGCCAACGTACCGGAGCCGGACCCCGACGAGAGCTACGACGTGCTGACCGAGGCGGAGAACGACATGGGGGTGCAGAGAGAAGGGCCGGAGCACAGCGGAAGGCGAAAAAGGGGAACTGGAGAGTGGCCTCGCAGCTCGGGATCCTGGTGACCTTCGCGGACGGCATGGCTTTGTCTGGACAAGCGGGAGTCTGCAATGTGGCAGACTGGAGATCGCGAGCTGGGCAGAGGGTGTGCCAAAGCACGTTCGGCGCGGAGACTCAGGCCTGTGCGGAAGGACTCGAGACCAGGGGCAGTACTTCAGGTCGATGTACGAGTCATTGGTGAGAGGGAAGATGGTGACGGTCGAGGCCGCTCAGCTCCCCATCCTCTGCTTGAGTGACTGCCGGTCTCTGTATGACCACCTCAACAGGCAGGGGATCCCGAGAGTACCGAGCGACAAGCGCCTAGCAGTCGACTTAGCAGCCCTACGTCAAGGACTGAAAGCTGAGAGATGGGGCGAGAATCTCCCCATAGCCTGGATTCCCGGCACCCTTCAAAGAGGGGACATTTTGACAAAGCCACAGATGGTGGGAAGCGATGGCGGCTTCGCTTTTATTGCCTCTTTCGATCGGGCAAGAAGGGGTTCCGATCAACAACAGAAGGATCGGAAACAGAACCAGTGTGAAACTTGATGGAGTTTGTAGATGCAACAGTGTCTTTCCGTATGAGTACTGCATTCAGTGATCGCACACTGGTTTCTGTCGCAAGGCCAACCGAAGGCATTCTGGCGCGAAGTGGAAAACTACGTCCGAGGACGTACAGGCCGGTTCGGGAGGGCTTTGTAGTAGGCCCCCTAGAGTAGAGTCCCTCTCGAGCGTCTTAGTTTCACAGTAATCGCTGAGGCTGTGATCCTGTCCTACTCGTATGAACATGCTCAGCGTGTTCAGTGGCTTCATCACTGATCGCCGCTTTCTTCGGTGGCATTCTGATCCTTTCAAATCATTTCGGGGGATCGTCATTGACGTATTGACGTTTTGAAGCTCACAAAACTTTTCTAGTTGGGAACACACACAGGCTCAAATGTTCCAACTTCGCAAAGTTGCAGCGGACAAGTCACTGTTTTTCTGTTCTCTCGCGATTCTCTTCCTATGTGAGCAGTGCTGGAAGCCGGAGATGGCCGGAGGCACAGCTCATGGGGGTGCGAGCGGACCTCCATGCCGTGCGGACCGCTTTGCGGACCGTACATCCTTCATCCAAGTGCTCCGCTTCATACGCAACCGCAGCTTTGTGGCTCAAGAACGAGCTCACGCTCTTACTGCCCAACAGCTAGAATCAGAAGCCATTTCTTGTTTCGACCCCAAAAGACTTGAGCCATATCCAATGCGCAGAGCACTCACTGAACTAAGCTAAGCTGATGCAAGCAAAACAAGCTTCTGCGATCGTGCCTGCGTTGGAACGGAGCGAGCGAAAGGGTATACAGATGTCAACTACGATTACGAGTACCACGATCTACTACGAGGCAAGCACAACATCAACTCGCCCGTTGAGGTGAGCATCAACGATGGTATCATGGATACTGAACCTTTATGCACGAGCAACTACATCATCGCTACGAAACCCGCACGCATCAAAGGATTGCAACAGCCAGTGGCAGCCAATGTCTTCTGTGACATCCCTGGCAATCTTCCAAAGGTCTGTCACCCGGAAGTCTGACACATGGGGGCTAGGCATTGTCCATTCTGAAGAGCAATGATGCTTGCCGTACAAGTACGTGTTGTGATTTGTCACGGACATGCGTACATGTGCTTCTGTGTCTTGGTTAGGATTCACGCCAACTTTGTCTCACTGCGCAGCTTGACTGCTCAAGACCGACGGCTCTGCGTCAGGTCCAGCAAAAGGCCCGCCTTCACTTAGGGTAGTGTTGGTGTTTCCTTTCCGCTGAGCGTCAATCTTACGGTTTTAATCTCTGATCATCCTTGCTTTGCTTTGCTGCCTTGCTTTGATCTACGATTGGTTGCCTTGGGCTTTGTGACCGAGAGTTGAGTGGAATCCTCCGCTTTTCACAGGTTATCAGCCGTAGGGCCTCCGCATCCGATTGTGGATTGCTGCTTCGCTGCTGCTGCTTGGCACTCGGACCGCCTGATCCAATCAGCGTCCGATCACTACCGTTTTCCTGGCTCAGACCAAGTTCGGAACTTGTGATTGGCCGCGCCACCGAGAGAATGGCGACTCCGATCGGTTCTCCCCGTGTCCCCTCGACTGTCGGTTCTTCACTAGTGACGCCAGTTGCTCGGGATGTCGTGGAGCCCGATGATAGTGCCCACGCATCTCGCTGCACTGCGCCCGCCTCGCACGCTTCGCTCGCTCGCTCTGCTTCGCTGCTTGCTTCGCCGCCTGCTGAGGACGATCAGAGAGCTCAGCACCATGCGCCGCCTTTGCCATGCTCTGCTGCTGCTGCTTTCGCAACGCCTGGCACGATGCCCGCCGGCATGCTGCCTGCTTCTGCCACTGCTCGTGCTTTGCCTTTGTTGCCTGCCTTTTCTGCGTCCGCTGCTCCTGCTGCTTCCGCACCTACTCCTCTTCCGACCGATCTTTCAGCTTGTCCTCTGTCCCTTCGCGGGGATCCAGAGGGCGCTCGGGCCCTTTTTGGGTCCGGGCCGGACGGCCGTGGTCCACCGATTTCGGACCCGGCGTCCTTCCGCCCACCACGCCCCGATTCCTGTGGGCCGGTGGCTGGCCGCGGTGGAGCCTCGCCCCCGATTGAGCGAGCATCCGGGTGCACTACCGCGGCGGGCCGCCCCCGCCATCGATAACGGCGGGTGGCATAACGGACCCTGTGCTGTCAGGGCCCTGGTCGATGAAGCCATTGGGTCGGAAGCATCCGCGCGCATCGCCACCGATATTCTGGCGATCGCGCAGGGTGTGACCAACACCCAGGCCGACCTCGATATACTGAGGAACGGCGTCTCGGATATCATCGAAGCGCTTGAGAGCAAGATCCGAGACATGTGGGAGCTTCTCCAGGCCGAATTGAGGAAAGAGCGTGAGCTGTTCATGCAGTTTCAGGACTCTTTCCGCGAGAGGCGGATTTCTGATCACGAGACGCTTGAAGATCATTTTGCGAAGCTCACCTCGACGATCAATGATCGACTTATTGAGTTCGATGAGCGGATCCATCAGTTCAACGAAAAGCGTGCTGGATCGCTATCCATGCAGCTTGCCGAAACGATCCGCCACATCAAGCAGTACCCAGACGCGCTGCGGCAGATTCAGATCAATATTTCTAATGCCGAAGCGCGCGTTGCTGCTGTGGAGCAGAATGCTACTCACCGCATCGAAGTCATCAGATCCGAGATGAGTCGCGCTCTCTACGATCATAAGGAGAGTAACCGAGCTCATATCGATCAGCTGACTGCTCGGATCCAGCACCTCGAGAACGCTCATGTCCGCAGAGGCGGTTCTGATAGATCGACGCCTTCGCGTCCGGAACGAACGCAGTTCTTCGATATCAGTGACCATGGTGGGGATATTCCACGCCCCGCGGACCTGCCGCCAGTTCCAGGTGCTCTATTCCCTGGCGGACCGACTACGGCCATTCCGAGGTCTTCCCTGTTGGGTCCGATCGATCATGGCTCTCCGCCGGGATGCAACGCTGCGCCTGCTGAAAAAGCCTCAACGGTTCACTCTCAGACGAGTGGAATCAATCTCGATGAAATTCTGAGGCGAGCGCAGCAACGAGTCGCTGACGAACAACCTGCCGAAAGTCGCGGGCAAAATAATCCCGTTGAGCCCCTTCGACATAATTTTGGCCAAACGTCGGCGTGTTTCTCAGGAAGATCGCCGAATCAGGCCGTTCCTTCCGCAAATGCCGCCGGAGCGACTTCCGGTCAGACTCCGAGCCTCAGGCCATTTCAAGTCGATGATGCTCCTCGCGCTGACATCCGACACGTCCCTGAAGCCCGGAGCTTCGCTCCTGAGCCCAGGTCAAGCCCGACCTTCCCATGCCAAATCTCCTATGACACTCGAACTGTCCCGGCAGGGAAGGGACCGTCACGATGGTATGATGCGATGCTTGGCCGATCGAATCTCATTGGCAACGGTGCTGGCGCACCAATTCTCAGTGAGACCGGTACTTTTACCCTTGCGCCGAACACGAGCGTTACTGCGACGCTTCAGCATGAAGCGGCCAATGATGCCATGCCCCCGATGCCCACCTTCAGTGCCAGAACGTCCATTCCTGCACCCAGTGCCGCGCCATCCGGATTTGGTGGACCGCCTCCCGCGTATAACGGAGGCGGCGGTTATTCTGGTGGTGATGGCCCCAACGATAATGGGGGTGCATATGGCGGTGGCTTCGGAGGACATGGGCACCACGGGTCCGGTTTTGGTCCCGGTGGCGGTGGTGGCCCACCCGACGGCCCACCTGGTGGTCCGCCTGGTGGTGGTGGCCCTCCTGACGGGAGTGGTCCGCCCGATGGCGGCCTTGATCCGCCTAGCATCAGGCCCTCCGGTCGGCCGAGTGGGAACGATACGTTCCAGTGCGAGCGATGCACCGGAACTTTCCCGACCATCGTGCGACGGTCGTGCATCTCTTGCCGATTCTCGTGTTGCAACGGATGTTGCCGAGATCCTTTGAGAATCTGTCTCGTGTGTCTTGAGAGACAGACTGGGAATCCACCTGGTCCCAACGATTCGGGATTCGGTGGACCCAAGGGCGATGGATCACTGAGCGAGGCCAAGAAGGCGAAGTGCAAGTCCTTTCGTCTCGATCCTGAGCCGGAGCCTGCTCAGTTGCGACGCTGGATCGTCGATATGAAAGAGCGAGTCGCGAATGCATTCGCCTACGATCCCGGATACGCACTCTCATGGGTTGAGATTCCCGATGGTACGCGATATGAGGATCTCCTCGATGAGTGCAAGTACGGAATGCTTGAAAATGAATGCAACTCTGCGTTCCGTGAGTGCGTCCGATCCATTGCACTGAAGAATAAGATCCAGACCGAGACCGAGCGCATGCATACGATAAACCGGCGACTCGGAAGTAGGCAGATCTTGTGGCTATTGTATGATTTCCTTCGACCACATGTCACCGGCGATTCAACTTTCAAGCTCGTTGACCTGATGAAGACCACGATTGATCGGTTTACTCATGGATCCGAGCAGGAAAGGTTAGAAGCCTTCTCCAATCGGTGGGATCATGTTCTCGCTGGTATCTCAGTCGATCGCCCCGAGGATCCTGTTCTCTGCGCTCTCTTTTATGAGCAGGTGCGTGAGTTCCGCTGTCTCGAGCTCGACATGCAGCTATGGGACAGGGACGTATCCGTACGGAACTACGCATACTTGCGAACCGTCTGCGTCAATGCGATTACAACTTGGCGCCGACGACGCAATCAGGAGAAGATGTACACCGCTACGAGGTCTACTTCTGCGCAGAGACGATACGCTGCACCTGCGCACGGCAGCCCGCGCAGATCTTCATCCCGAGGTCAAAGGGGGTCAAGATCGCCTGGGCGTCGTGACTCCAGAAAGGGGAGTCCGTACCGAAGGAGCTCGCCGAGGCGCTCGTCACCCAGACGATCCTTCCCGCGACGCGGATCGCCAAGACGATATTCCCGCAGTCCGGGACGAGCAGCTCCCGCACCGACTCGCCCAATGTCGCGATCCCCGCGAGGACGGGAAATCTGCTACGATTTCAAGAAAGGCAGATGCACGCGAGGAAGCGGATGCAAGTTCTCCCATAACCTGAAGGGAAGAAGCTCCTCGCCGAAGGGTTTCCCGCCTCGATCGCAATCACCGATTTCAAAGGAGTCTGGTATTTGCTTCTACTTTGCACGAGGCACTTGCTCGAGAGGAGACAAGTGCCCTTTTAAGCATGTGAAGCCGGGTGCCCCAGCTGAGAGCACCCCTGCTGCCGCTCCTGCGCCTGCTGAGCCCGCGCCGACGTCAAGGCGGGTTGACAGCCCGGCGCCCACGCCCTCGGATTTTTGAGAGGGGCGTGCCGCAACCCTCAGGCAATGACAGCATCATTCTATGGAGACTTCGCCTTCGCTTGCGTTGCATCATTCGATATGGCATGTCCGTCAGTCAAGCGGAAGACAGTGTCGTTTGGGAATACTGAGACCCGCGTGATAGAGTCTTCTTTCCCGGAGCCAAACTTCGGTCCCGTCAATCGCGAGAGGAATTTGAACTATTCGTGGCCGGAAGATATCCGTGGTCTGAATAGTGCTCGCGAGAGGCGAAGGGCGCACATGAAGGCTGTGCTTTGGAGAGAGCAGGTTTTGCTCGATGACGTTGATGCCAAAACGCTAGGTAATGATGCTTGCGTTCTTGAGCTCACGCTGTCTCAGCGGAGCGCTTGCGAGGTCTTTGCTGCTGCTGTCAAGTCTATTAAGAGGGTCCGGAGACTAATGCTCGACTCCGGGTGCGGTATAGACCTTATTGGTCTCGGTGATCTGTCCCGCGAAGAAAGGGACCTGATAGTTCAGAATGCTAAGATCAGCCTTAGGACCGCCAATGGGAAAACTAACACCAAAGGTGTTGCCCATATGCGCATTGACGGCCTCGATGAGCTGATCGAAGCTTATGTGCTGGAGAGCACACCAAGTCTTCTTTCCCTAGGGAAACGATGCAAGGAGCTTGGTTACCGATTTATCTGGGAACCCTTTTGTGATCCGATATTCTTTGATCCCAAAGGGAGACAACTCAAGATTGATGTTATCAATAACATCCCCTACCTCGCTCCGAGCGAAACCGAGGTAGTCGCGGGTCGACCTGATCTCCCTCGTGTGTATCCGGCACTCCCAGCACCGATCATTATTCACGAGAAAATCGTCGCTGCGGGTGAAGAACCTGTGGGCGAGCTAGACGACATTGGTGAGCTCGATCTTGATATGCCTTGTGCTAAGAGTGCCCAGAAAAGTGCACCTGACGATATCAAGAAGGTGCCTAACAAGCCTAAGCATCAGTCGCCGCCCGATGAACCGAGAGCGCGCGATCTGAGGGAGGAGGCTAAGTCCATCCGTCACCTTATGACCCATCTACCTAAGAATCCCTACTGCGATGCATGCCAACGTGCAAAGATGGAAAACGTTAAGTCGTTTCGCCAAGACTCACCACGCGATAAAGGGTTTGAGAAATTTGGCGAGCACGTCACCATCGATACTATGGTGTTGCACGGGCTTGGCAATCGTGGGAATAATGGGGAAACAGATGCTGTTGTCTTCTATGATCTAGCGACCGAGTGGTTAGAGAGTGTTCCCGTCAAGGGGAGGACGAATGCCGACACGCTTCGAGCGTTCCAGCAGGTCTTCGGCGACCTTCAAGATGTGAACTCGTTCTCCATGGATGTGGAGAGAAGGTATGCACCGTCTGCGATCCGGGAAATCTACTGTGATAAAGCCCGTGAGTTCATATCGACCTGCAAAAGAGTCGGCATCTCTGTAAAACATTCCACTCCTGGCATGCCTCGCACTAATGCCATTGCCGAGAGCAAGGTGAAGCTTGTCCTTCATGGCGCACGAGTGGCGCTTCGACAAGCGGGACTGAGCGCCAAATTCTGGCCTTATGCGTGCAAGCACTTTTTGTCATGCTCGCAACATCGAGTTACGCGAAGGACAAAGTGCGTATTCGCTACGATTTAATGGTGCCGAATTTGACGGTCAGGTTCTCCCATTCGGATGTCTTGTAGACTTCTATCCCACGCCGGCACGAAAGCAAACCCGACGTAGTCAGAAAGATGAAGTCGTACTCGGCGATGGTGAGGAATATGCCGTACCTGCGCCTGGAGATGATGGATTGGTCGAAGTCGAATTTGGATTCGATGATGATGGTTATCTCGAGTGGATCGACGATGGAGACGACGATCGACCTGGATCCCTCCAAGGACCAGACATGGATCAACGCCTATCGTCCTACCAGCGCCCCAGCAAATTCTCTCCCACGAGCAAACCCGGTGTGTTTCTGGGTTACCACTTCGAGAATGGGGGCAGGTGGGATGGTGACTATATAGTCGCCGACCTTGAAGATTTCAAACGCGACGCACTGCGTGCGAGCGTCCATCAGGTCAAGAAGCTATACTGCTCACCCAAGGAGCGATGGACATTTCCGATGCTGGCTGTATACGATAAACAGACACGATCAGTGTGCATCAACGATCCCGCGATGCATTCTAATGTGCCTAAGCCAAGTGAGCGTCTTGACGCCTCCGACATGCTCGATCTCGAAGATATCGATGAAATCTTCGCCCTTGATGAGTCAACGCGAATGACCGATGATGATATTCGCCAAGCTCGCGAGGCTGAGTTACGAGCAGAGTCCTCTCATGGAGGAGGTGTTGACTACTGGGAGTATGACCCATCTGTGCATAAATGGACGTATCACGTCGTTGTTCCAAGGAAAGCGATGGTTCATCCCAGTAAGACTCCCGGTTCCGTTGGGGAGTCGCCTGATCCATGGAAGCTGAGCACGGTGCGTATATCACATGTTCAATACAAGGACAAAAGCCCGGTTACGATCTATGAGACCGGGTATGCCTTCGGCAAAACAAGACTCATGCAGCTCTGGACCGGCAATGTCGAATTTTATGATGACGGCTATGCCCCACCCAAGAAGAAGTTACCTCCTTACCACGGGTCGGAGATCCTGGAAGGCGAGGGGGGTTTGCCTTATCGTCAGAGTGTGCCGCGTTCCGAGCGGGCATATAAAGGGTCTCGAAAACCGAACTCTATCGATTCAGAATCCTGGCGCAGTATGAACCGCGCCGAACGGGAGGGATATGTAGAGGCTGAGCGCCGAGAAGCTGAGTCTCATGCCATGTCCAGAGAGGATTCTCGCGATGCTGCTCCTGTCGACATCGCTTACGATTCTGAATATGAGTCGGGTGCCGAACGGCGTGACAAGGATTACTGGTATCACGATGTCGCAGCTGGCACGATCACCCGATTTCATGTGATCGAACGCCGAGCGCGCTTCAACCCTACCTCCGTCAAAGATTGTCCCGTTGATCCTACAACATTGACCGATGTCAGGATGACTATGGCCATGACTGACGGTACCGAGTTCACGTTGCAGGACTCATGGAGATCATCCGACACTCGGTCTCTGCCGTGTCGATGGACGGGAAAGACGGTCTTCGTTATCGGTTCTTCCGCCAAAACGCAGATTAAAGTTCGAACCCGTATGCCGAACGCCGATGACACGGGGCGCCGCGTGCAGACTGCGAATGGCTACTAATACTATGGACACGCATTGCGTGCAAATGGCCGTACTGTCGTACCTGCCAAATCTCGCGCCTGTGTCGTTACGGATCTTGAGTTTGAGCCCCCGGGTGGTATGTCCGCCCGTCTTCAGCCGCTTCGCGGCAGTGGCCTCGATGTTTGCCCGGCCATGTACACATACAATGAAGGGGCAACTCAGTCCGGTGTTGACGTCCTTAATCCTACCGACTACGATATTATAGTCGAGCCCGGACAAGACGTTGCTGTGGTTCAGTTTTACACTTCACCGCAGAAGACGTGGAATGTGATGTTTCTGCACCGATTGAACCATCCGATGACGGCCGCGCTGTTGATACAGCACCTGCAATGCCTGTTCGCCCTGATCCTCATTCACACCGATCTCCCGATTCATCGGTCTTCTTCTACAGTGCGTGTGTTGCACGGCCCGTTGACCGAAAAGAGCGTGCCGCTAATCCCAAGGCGAAAGCCGCCCTTGACAAGGAGTGGAATAAGCTCATCAACCAAGGATGTTGGGATTACGCATCCGTGCGTGAGTGGCGCGATGTGTCTAACGAGGCTATGGCCAAAGGGGAAACGGCCCACGTTGGCCGTATCTTCGATATATGCGTTGAGAAGAATTCCGAGCTTCCGGAGTCCGACCCTAATCGCAAATTTAAGGGTCGAGTGGTGTTCGAAGGATGTCATGTCAAAGACGAGGGCAATAATTGGGCTATTTTCTCCGAGATCACCTCTTGCCCCGCGACCATGGAAGCTGGAAAGGCCGCCGATGCCTTCGGCCTTCTTCCTGGTCATGAAATACAGGTTGCCGATGGCGAATCTGCCTATACTCAGGCCAAGCTTGGCGGCCCGGCCACGTGGGTCCGCTTGCCCAAGGATCGTTGGTTGCCCGAATGGCAAGGCAAATATCACGATCCGGTCGTACGCCTAGTGCTGGCCCTTTATGGGCATCCGGATGCCGGTGGTTTCTGGGAACAGCATTGTGAGAAGGCTCTTCGATCAGTTGGGTTCGAGCAGTGTCCCGACTGGAAGAGTGTATTTCGTCATCCCAAACTTAATCTTATGCTCGTGGTCTACGTCGATGATTTTAAGCTCAGTGGACCAAAGGCCAATCTGGCAAAAGGGTGGGAGCTCATGGCATCGAAGATTAAATTGGAGCCGCCCTCGAGCATCAAACGTTACTTGGGATGCGAGCATGTTACCTTCTCCCACGTTGTCCCTAGTGCCTTTGATCCGCGCTCCTATTGGACGCGCTTCGAGGAACCCAAGAAGGCGTTTCCCGAGCTGACGTTTGGTGATCGCGACACCAGTGTCGCGCAGGGCTCTGTTGGTCCTCGAGAAATTCGCATGATCAAATACGATATGCGATCGTTCATGGAACAATGTGTTTCTCGCTATGTTGAGCTCTGTGGCCCTAAGTATAAGGCCACCTTGCGGTCGGCTGATACGCCATTCCTCGATGAATCACGACCGGAATTCGATACCAATCCGGATCGACCTGCTGTGAACCGCTTATTGGGCCATCCCGCTGACACGCCTGTGCCTCCTGGTAAGGGCGTTCTCGGCGACTGTGCAGCCGCCGTTCTGATGAAAATTCTATATGGTGCTCGCATGGGGCGGTACGATTTAATCCGTCCTGTGCAGGCACTTGCCAGTCTCATCACCAAGTGGGATGGCTTGTGTGATAAGAAACTCCATCGACTGGTGTGCTATATCAACTCTACCCTCGATCTCAACTTGTATGGGTGGATTGGTGATGCACCCGAGATGCTGGAGCTTGTGCTCTACTGCGATGCCGATCTTGCGGGTGACCGCACTGATTCCAAGAGCACCTCCGGTGTCTTTATGTGTCTTCTTGGGCCGCGTAGCTTTATGCCTCTTAATGCTTTGTCCAAGAAGCAAACTTCTGTGTCGAAGTCTACCCCCGAGGCCGAAATTGTCTCTCTTGACCACGCTGTGTATAAATTAGGCCTGCCTGCTCTATCTATGTGGGAGTATATGTTGGGCCGCCGTTTCCGATTGCGGGTCATGGAGGACAATGAGGCCGCTATTCGTGTCGTTATCACTGGTCACAATCCGAACATGCGTCACATGTCTCGTACCCAGCGCATCGATATCTCTGCGTTGAACGAGCGTTATCACGCTGGGGATTTTCTGTTCGTAACGTGTCCCTCTCCATTCGAGGCTGGTGATATTCTGACCAAGGCCTGCACTGATGCTAAGGTGTGGGGCCGCAACCTCATGTCTATTGGTCACTTTCGTAAGGGTACTCTTATTTCCTCCGGTATGCTGTCTGCCGCTCCCGCTCTCCCTGCTCTCCCCTCTGTCTGTCCAACCAGGGGGGTACATCTTGAAACCGGACACAGCCCCTTCAACGATTTCATCCTCGACATGTCTCGTCAGGGGGGTGTTTCAATCGATGATGCTCACCAATTCGGAGCAGCAGTAAAATGTATTCATATCGGAGGCGAAGGCATAATCCGATTCCCTCATGCTCGAAGTATCAATCTCAGTCTCGATGATAATGCAAAAGGGATTGCTATTTCGAACATCAGGGTCCCGCCTACGCCTGCGGTATGTATTGTCACTGTTCCGATTGCTGGCACCGCTAACAAAAGAGAAGCTGGTTTCAAGAGCAGGGGTTGGAAAGAAATGAGGGGCGACCTAAAGGAAAAAGGATGGGAAGCCAAGAAATTACTCGGGTATGCTTCCGCTGCCCGCTCATCCGGAATCCCTGTGTTTCTTGTGCTGCCGAAGGGAAAATTGTTGTGGGGTAGGGAGTATATACGACGATGGTCTGAGTCGCACGAGCTGTGCCGTTAAACTGTGCTCGTGCTCTTCTGGTCGATGTTCCCAGCATGCATGGATGTGTGAGATTTTCATGCCTGCCCGTTTTGGGCCCATCTTCATGTTACGATTTGCATGCAATCACAAGAAGGTCAAAAGGGCCGACCCGAAGGAGCTTCGACTTGCATTGTGGACTATGCTGGAACATTTCATGAATTCTGCAACCTTTGGCTCACAGCAATCCGCGTAGCCGATTGCTTAAACAAAGACGCCAAGGCCATGTTCACACACACACACACACTTGCACACTTACACTTGACACAACTTGGTAAGGAGCTCTAGGGAAGATGATCATAGATCACCTTCGTCAACCGACCATCACAGACCACCTCTACTACGACCCAGTCTATAGCCCACTTGCGCTCCCTGCTAGGACAGGTTGTAGCTGCCACGGGCTGCGAACTTACCCGCGCTGCCGCCGCTGCTGATCGATGGGAGGAAAGAACAAGCAGCCACCGAAGAAGGCTGCTGCCAAGACACCGGCTGCCCGATCACCCCAGCCGAAATCTCCCTCGCTATGCAGGGAAGGCCTTCCGAGCGGTGCGATCGCACCGACTACGGAAAGGCCTCCTGTTCCGCCGATTCCCACGGAGCAGGATGATTCCAACATGGGTACCGATGAAGCCCCTGTCCCGATTCAGACCCCGAGAGATGAGTCCACAGGGGGTGGAAAGCGCTCCGAGGACATTCCGATAGGATTGAGGATGAAAATGATGATGCTGAAGATTGGGATTCAAGAGATCCCACAGGCCTCAATCTGGCAACGCCTCGAGCAGCTGACATGCAACTCTGGGTACGATCTCAAGCTGCACCAGCTGGTTGACTCCTTCCTTCTCACTACTCATCCGCTTGCGGATAAGCAGAGGAAGCAGTACCCCCAAGAGTTTATGGACTTCATCGACCGATACAGGGTGATGTGCGCTCTTGCATTTTCCCGAGTGGCGACGCTGTCTGGTGACGCCGCGGGGGTCCGCGAGAAAATGGACCTTACGATGGCGCTGGCTCGCCACTGTATGCTTTTCCAAGCGCAAAGCTTTAAGGGATCCCGAGATATGCTGAGCAACGATACGCTCCAGCTCATGGGAACCTGCTACATCCCGTCGCCTCTTGCGAGCTGGAACCGAAATCTCATGGGATATAGCAGTTCGGCTGCTGAACAGCGATGGTTGAGGACCGATACGAGTATCAAACACAACGACCTCACCAAGCTGTCGCCCATTGAGTTGTCAAGGGAGGCGGTCAGCCAGGTTGAAGCTGTGAAGTTCTTCAAGGGATTTCTGCAGCTCAGGCCGACGCTATCGTTCATCCCTGGAGCGTTTCTGGCGCTCAAGGCTCTTAACCGATTTCCCACGCTGGACTCTTTGAAAGAGCAAGCAACTCACCTCGATAACGATCGCAAGGAACACGGCTACGATCTTCCTGCCGTGGACGCGAACGGGATCGGGGAAGCAGCCGCCTTTCGCAACGAAGACGACGATGAGAATACCCCGTTGATGCGCGGGTGGGTCTCGTTCATGAAAGCGATGGTTGAGGCCTACCCCGGCCGGTGCGTTAGCATCGATGATACGCTCAGCTGGGGAGCCAGCACCCCTATGACCTATGAGGACGGTGCGGGGCAGACTACCATCCGCCCGACTGATGGATGGGTGTATGTCCCCGCGATGAATTCGGACATATACGATCCTCAGGAAACGTTCCTTCACGGAACGAACCTCCGATACCTCTGGTCGATTCTTGCACACGGAGGTCTGTTCGGGGAGGATTACGTGACGGACGATCATGGAAGTCACGAACCCTGCGTCTGGGTGACTGGACACGCTTCCGAGGCTGCCGGTAGCTACGCGTCTGGCACATACCTCGGGGAGGATACTGGTTTCAAGTGATGATCTGCGTCTCCCGGACTGTGGTGAACACCCACGGTCGCACGACGAAGAAGCTGGGAGGATCCCAGAAACAGATCCGCGTCGGAACTCGATTCCTCGAGCTGTGCGGGATCGCGTTCAGGCCCTTCCGCCTTCTGGATGACCGCGAGCAAGGGGTTTCTACCTCTCCACAATACGTCATCCATGGTCACCGATTCCTTAGTGCCGACGGGACAAAAGCTGTGGCCTGGCACCCATGGATGGTAGCGAGCCCGATTGATCCTCGCAT